GGCACAGCAGGCAGAGCAGGCAGCGGCAGGTCTCGCAGAAGAGGCCGAGCAGCTCGCCGTGCTGCGGGCAGTGGGCCCGCCGCGCCTGGTCCAGAGCCTCCGTCAGCTGCGCCATGGAGCGCAGCGAGCGGTTGGGCCGCAGCGAGGCCGGTGACACGGCGGCGCGGCACTGCGGACAGTCGACGGGGCGCGGCGGGACCCCCATGAGCGCCGCCAGGCAGGCCCCGCAATAGCTGTGCCCGCAGTCGGTGATGACGGGCTCCTGGAAGAGCTCCAGGCACAGCGGGCAGGTGGCCTCCTCCACCAAGTTCTCGCTCACCGCCAGCACGGCCCGCGCCATTCTGCGGTCTCCGGGAAGGACGCGCCGGAGGGGGGAAGAGGGAAGGGAGAGGGCGGGGCGCGGGCGGTGCCGAAAGCTAACGGGGCCCCGGGAGGGGATGGGGAGCGGTGAGGCGTGCGTGCGTGTTCACGTGTGTGTGTGTGCGCGTGTGTGTGTGTGTGTGTGTACGCGCATCGGTGCCTGGACGTGTGTGTACATACGTATGTGTGTGTCTGCATGGGTCTGTGTACATGCACCTGTGTGTCTGTGCATGCATGTCTGTGTGCATACGTGTATGTGTGTACGTGTTGGGCCTCTCACCACAAGAAAGACTTTGAGGTGCTGGAGCGGGTCCAGAGAGAGGCAGCGAAGCTGGTGAAGGGTCTGGAGCACAAGTCTTGTGCAGAGCGGCTGAGGGACCTGGGGTTGTTTAGGAGAGGAAAAGGCTCAATTGCAGAAGTCTCACCGCTCTCTACAACTGCATGAAAGGAGGTTATAGTGAGCTGGGAATCAGTCTGTTCTCCGAACTAACAAGACATAGGACAAGAGGAAACGGCCTCAAGCTGCTCCAAGGGAGGTTCAGGTTGGATATTGGAAAGATTTGTTCACAGACAGGGTAATCAGGCATTGGAACAGGCTGCCCAGGGAAGTGGTGGAATCGCCATCCCTGGAAGAGTTCATAAACCGTGTAGACGAGGCCCTCAGTGACATGATTTAGTGGAGGTCCTGACAGTCCTGGGGTAACGGTTGGATCCAATGATCTTAAAGGTCTTTTCCAACCTAGTTGATTCTATGTGTATAGCTCTGCATGCGTGTGTACATGTACGTGTGTGAGCGTGCATGTGCATGTATTTGTGTCTGCATGTGTGTGTGCATACATGGGCATGTGCATCCATGTGTGTGTATATGCATGCACATAAATCATTTAAGAACCACTCACTGGAGTTCCTGGGAGCAGTTGGAGCCCTCCTGGGCACACAGGGCTGCAAGCCGGCACATTTGGCACTGTGCTACCGGCCAGCACAGCTGCTCTGGCTGTGTCAATAAATGTAGTCATTTATAAGCGCCGATTGGAGGTGCCGAGCAGGGTCCTTCCTGAGGAGGCCTCATGCTTGCAGGAGCTGCTTCCCGCCTGCCAGGGTTGGGGGTTTAATGCAGTTGAAGGGATTGTTGCAGCGCAGCAGCGGTAACGTGAAGGAGCCGGGTGCAATCCGGCCCATGAGCCACATCCCTGCACTGGCTGCCTCGCTGTGTGCTGCAGGCGTGAAATCCCACCACACTGAGCTGCTGCCCTGGGGTGGGGGTGAATTCATGCTCCAGCTTCTGTCCCTGCACCCTATGGCCACCACCAGCGCTCCTAATGTCTCTGCTCTCACCCCAAAACATCTGAAACAGGTGCTTAGCTTCTCCCTTGAGAGCCCCTTGAGCCCTTCACCACTTGTCCCTGATGTGCTGATGGCAGCTGGGCAATGAAGTGGTCAAGCAGCCCCCTCCCCACATGTCTCCTGCCCTGACAAAAGCCTGTTTGCCACCCAGCTGCCTGCTTCCCCACTACAGCAGGTCCCACACTCCATCCTGGCAGCTGTGGTGGGCTCCGCATGGTGCTTTCATCCCTCTGTTCACCATCCATCCTTGCAGCATCCCAGGGTGACAGCCTTTGGGCTGTGGTGTGCTGGGTGCACCCTGCTTGTCCCCTGTCCCCAGGGCTGCAGCCTTCTCAGTGCAGCAGCATCCAGCTCCCTCTAGCACCCTGTGTCAGGAAGGGCTAGGCAACCATGACCAGGCCAAACCTATGGGGACATGAGCCCTTGAATAACTGGTCCTCCTACAGGATGGTGCCATTAACCCCCATAGTGGAGTGGTGGTTTAGCAGAGGACTGTGCAGCATCCAGCACTGCCCAAATTAACTCAACTGCAATTACACAGAGGGTGCCAGTAACCTGCAGATGGCTCTGACTGATCAACCCATGAAGATGTTTCAAGGGCTGAAGCACCTCTGCTATGGAGACGGGCTGAGAGAGCTGGGCTTGTTCAGCCTGGAGAAGAGAAGGCCCCAGGGGAGACCTGAGAGCAGCTTCCAGTGCCTGAAAGGGCCAACAAGAAAGCTGGAGAGGGGCTTTTGACAAGGGCAGGAAGGGACAGGACAAGGGAGAATGGCTTTAAACTGACAGAAGGGAGATTGAGATGAGATCTGAGGAAGAAGTTCTTCCCTGTGAGGGTGGTGAGGCCCTGGCACAGGTTGCCCAGAGAAGCCGTGCCTGCCCCATCCCTGGCAGTGTTCAAGGCCAGGTTGGATGGGGCTTGGAGCAACCTGGTCCAGTGGAAGGTGTCCCTGCCTGTGGCAGGGGGTTGGAACTGGATGAGCTTTAAAGTCCCAACCCAACCCAATCCTTTGTTCTATGATTCTACAAAGATTTGTGTAGTGGTGAGGCTGCTTGTGGCTCATGCCACCCCCAGGTTTGTGCCCTGCAGCACTGCCACCTCTGTGTTTTTTCCAGTGCTGCTGCCACCCCAAGGGCTTGCAACGGGTGTGCTGTTCCCCCCCCAGTGTGGGAGCTGTGCCTGCAGATGGGCTGTTGACATTTGAGCTGCTGAAGGTCACCTGGATGTTCTTAAATCCTGGCAATGTCCAGCAACTGATGCTGTGTGTGACAGGCAAGGAGCAGCACCAGGGGGAGAGCAGTTGCTGTGTGAGGGACCAGTGACACAGAGCAGTGCACAGGCACTGCTAGCCCTGCCATGTCGGGGCAAGGAGGGGGCTGCCCATCCCCAAGGCTGCCCAGGCTGGCCGTAACACCCAAGTGCCTGCTTTGGCAGAAAGAGCTGAATCCATCCATTTTTAGGAAGAAAAAAGGACACAACTGTGGGTGTTGGACACTGCCAGTGGGATGAACATGAGCTGCTGTGAAACAGAGTCAGTTCTGCTTTTAATTTCTCTGTTCCCTCTAATTGCATTTAGTCCTGATGAGGGGGATGCGGGCAGCTGCTGAGGGTCCAGGAGCGGCAGCCAGGCTCTCCAGTCCTGCACCAGCACCTCCTTCTGGGACATCCAGCCCCACTGCAGCACACATTTAACCCATGTCAGACCACACGCCATGAACTGAAACTCCAAACTGCTCTCAGGGAGCCTCAGGGACAACTTTAGCAAAGGGAATGCAGAAACTTCAGCTGGATCCTGCCCTGGCAGCCCCAAAATGCTCCTTTCCACAATGGTGACCATCCGGTGCACTCTATGTGGCTGCACTGCCCTCAGACACTTCCCAGCATGGAAGAGGCTGTAAATTACACATTTAGGAGGGGTTCATACACACGGAAAGCCCAGGAGTGAGGACTCTGATTCTACAAAGGCATTAACAGGTCCCAACAACTTATCCCATCATCGCTCTGTTTATTGATGCCACTGTCCAACATGAGATCCGACACCGCTCTCCCCACAGCACCCGTTGGCCCAGTGTGCCCAGTGTGCACCAGGGAGCTGGTGTCACTGCCTCAGCCATGGCCCTGCCCTTGGGGTGCATCTCACCCAGCTACAGGAGCTGTGATGAGGATAAACCAGGGCCATGGAGAACTGAGCTGCTGGAGACGGGCACTCAGACCAACAGCCAGGAGGCTGACCCATGTCCCTGCCACTGTGACTACAGCCACAGCTGCATGGCAAGGAACCCTGGCAGCAAGTGCCTGGGAGCTGGGAGGTCTCCCACAGGCAGCCCCAAGCTGGCCACGGCTTTTCTTGAAGCCAGCATGGGACTTGCTCCTCTGCCTGGGGCAAGAGTCCCACTGCTCCTGCCACTGAGGAGTGTGTGGACAATGTCACTGGCATGGGCAAGGGCAGCCTGCTTGCCACAGCGTATGTCAAAGAGAGCAGAAGAGAGGTTAAACATGTCAAGGTCTCGTGGCCAGGTACATCGTGACCCCACAGCACCCCGCGGCAAGACCCACAGCTCCAGCATCAAGATGCCTTCGGCGCAGCTTCCATGGCAGCAGGAGAACTGGGCACCTGGATCACCACTCATCGAGACATCTGCCGCTGTGGAAGGATTAAGTGCTACAAATGACAGTTTGGAGGAGCCTGGCTTGATGGGGTCCTACCAGAAAAAGGTTCTTTTACTGCAACTAGTATTTTATTCTACTGTATAACTCAGGAGTGCATCACAGCCTCAAGAGCTGGGCAGGCACCAATCAGTGCTTCCAATCTAGACACACGGAGAACTTCCTCATCATCTGGATCTATTATTACTCACCTTCCCCTGGCTGGGAGCTCCTTGTCTCCACATGCTGCTGAGCGGCTGTCACGTCCAGCCTGGAAAGCTGGGACGAGGCAACATCTCTGCAGATCTCCTGGACAAAAAGTGACTGTGCCAGAATTAGCCTATAGAGCATTGAAAAAAAACAAAAACAAAAAAAACAAAAAAAAGGAAAACCAAAAAATCCTCTTGGCCATCCTAAGTTTGCTTATCAAAAAAAAAAAAAAACAGTTCCTCCACATTTATTAGAAAACCAAACAGTAGATTTAAAAAGCAGTTAAAGAGTCCTACTCCGGCAAAACACCCTGTACAGGTTTCTTTTTGTTGGTGGTTTGCTTGCCTTTGTGTTTTTTTCTGATGGTGAGGATTCCCCCTAAACCAACTGCTTCTGTTAATTGTATACATACATTTAATCTTTTCACTTTGCCGCACATCGCTTGCTTTAATTAATTAATTTATTTCCAATCAGCCTAGCCGTCTCCACCAGAGCAGCGGCGCTACCACACAAAGCTTCCTTGATGTCCATGCCCTGAGCTGGGGGAAGGGAGATGGAGGGAAGGAGGGAGAGATGAATGGAGAAGGAAGGGGAAGGCTGGAGGGAGGGAAGTAGGCAGGGAGGGAAGAAAGGGAGGGAGAGGAAGCCGTCAGCAGCCCCTCACTCTCCCATGTGCGTCCTCAGGTGGTATTTGAGAGACTGCTTGTAGCGGAAGCACTTGGTGCACTCGGTGCAGGGGTAGGGCCGCTCGCCGGTGTGCGCCCGCTGGTGCTCCAGGAGGTGATGCTTCTGGGTGAAGTTCTTGCCGCACTCGGTGCAGTGGTAGGGCCGCTCGCCCGTGTGGATGCGTTGGTGCTCCAGGAGGTGGTGCTTGCGGATGAAGCCCTTCCCGCAGACGGCACAGGCGTGTGGGCGCTCCCGGGTGTGGATGCGGTAATGGTTGGTGAGCTTGGACTTCTCGCTGAAGGTCTTCTCGCACTGGCTGCACTGGTAGGGCCGCTCGCCGGTGTGAGTCCGCTGGTGCCGCAGGAGGTGGGAGGGCCGGGTGAAATTCTTCCCGCACTGGGGACAGAGGAAGGCCATCTCATTCTTGCCGGCATGGATCCTCTGGTGCATGATGAGGCTAATCTGCAAGCGGAAGCTCCGCCGGCACTCGCCACAGGTGAAAGGCCGCTCCCCGACATGGGTGATCTGGTGTTTGCTGAGGCTCGACTTGTGGCTGAAGCTGCTCTCGCACTCAGAGCACTTGTAGGGCTTCCCTGGAGGTGGGGCCCGTGGCTGAGGCTTGAGACCGTGCTCAGGGCGCCGGGGGACCTCCACACCCCGGCGCGTGTGGCTGCGCTGGTGCAGCAGGAACTGCTGTTTGTTGCGGAAGCTGAGGTCGCACTCGTGGCACTCATAGGAGCCTTCCTTGAGGTGGTTGCGCTGGTGGATCATGAAGTTGATCTTGAGCATGAAACTCTTCCCACACTCGGGGCAAATGTAGGGTCTCTCCCTTGTCCGGTTCCGCTGCTGGGCGACAGCTGGCTTCATGTCTCCAGAGTCCCTCTCGCACGTTGGCGGTTTCCTCACGCGGGTGGCCACCAGGCTCCTGGGCTGTGTTTTGGAACTGCACTGTGCCTCACAGCCCAGCCCAGCCTCGTGGCTGGGGAATGCCGGCGGATCACTCCTGCCTGAGAACATGTCACATGGCTCCAGAGTGTCGGGGTCCTCCTCCTCCTCCTCTTCTTCCTCCGTCTTGATCACGATCCCGTCCTCTGAGGGGGAAAACCAGAACAGTGTTAGGGTCATTCGGTAGGATAGGTAGCCTTTTATGCACCTGGGGGCTACTACAGAAACATCTGCATAGGCTTCTTTGCGGCCCATCAAACATCTTTTTCAAACATCTGCCGCTGTTTGTGCCTGCCTGTCCACTTTGCCCAACCACCCGGACATGAAAAGGCTCCAGCTTTGGGACAGGCCATGTCCTCCTGCAGTAGCAAGGCAAGTCTGCACACCCTGCAACAGGGAAGACAGAAAAACCGTCTCCCAGACAGGCTCCTTCGGAGGGTGCGGTGAGCCCTGTCTGCCAAAAGGTTTTGCAATTTCATGATGCTAGAAGACAGAGGGGGTAAAAGCACCATCGGTTTGCAAGGAATCAGGTGGCCAAGTGGTTTTGGAGCAGCTACATCTGCTACCATTTTTCTGGGCTACACCACCACACCTGCACAGCACTGCTCCACAGAACCACCACACAGGGTTGCTGGCCTCCAGCTCCACTCCTGAATCCATGAACACAGCCCGGGACTGTCAACCTCTTTCAGCTTCACCAGGACAGGGCACTGGGAGAGACCCCCTCCTTCCCCAAGACAACCAGTGGTGCAATGGATGGCTACAGCTCAGGCCCCCCCCTTGGGTCACCAATGCCAGAGGTGACCTGGTTGTTTCTGTTTGGTGAGACTGGCTGTGGGGACACACACAGCAGGACACACAGCCAGCATGTCCTGAGGAAAGGCCCATGGTGGATCCCTCGCATGTCATCCTGCACTGGACTTTGAGCCAGGCCTATGTACTTTTCTAGGAAGAGCAGCCATGCTTTCCCAAGAAGAGGCAGCTGATGGGAGCAGAGTGTATCAAAGCTCTCCCCTCCAACAGAGGTGTCTGTGGGGAAAACCCACATTCCCAGATCCTCCTCTCCTCCTCCTCGCAGCAAGAAGCCTCCCCTATGTGGACCAGGGGCTGACACTGCTGGAGCTGGCACCTGCACCACGGTCAGAGCATTGCTGCAGCTCCTGCTCAACCCCACCAGTGGGGGCCCCAAGCATTGGCAGAGGTGCTAGCTCTTGGATGAGGATCAGCTTCAGCTGCACTGGTGGCTTGGCTGGTTTCCTTTAGAAAACCATGAGGAGACCACAGGATACATGAGACAGAGTGGAGGAGAACCTCAAGAACCCAACTTTATCTTTCTTGGTTTGTGCTACACCATTGCAAAGCCATCAGAAGGCAGGGAACCTGCTGTTCCCAACAGCCCACCTCTCTGCCTTCCCATCTCCACCCACAAAGCATCTCTGTAGGATCTGGCCCATACCAGACTTGTACACATGAAGCACCTGCTGCTATCTTCTCATACCCCCAGTAAATAACCTCAGCCTTCCCCTCCCACACCAGGGACCTCTGGCCACTCTCTTCTCTGTCTTCCAGACCTCTCCTAAGCAATCACCATACTGGCCAACATGCTGGACCTCCTATGTTTCTCCAGCAGATTCTGGTGTGTTAGCACCTGAGTGGCTTACACCATTCCTCTGCGCAACTAACACCAGGGCAGGAGTCCTCAACTGATGTCCTGCCCTCTGCAACGGTAGGATTTTGGCAGCGGGAGCTCGCTGGGACTCATTAAAATGCTGCCTGAGACACATCTTCCCTTGGTCTCTGTGTGTAACAAGGGCTTTTCCCACCTTCAGGGGTGCTTGCTCTGCTCTGGAGTGGGTCAGGTGCCCTTAGAGACAATGCTCTGATGTCCACCACGTGTGTGCTGCCTCCTCCTCCTAGCCTGAGTTATGACCACAGCTGCTCTTGAGGTTGCTGCAGCCAGAAACTTTCCTTCTGTTGCTGGTTCTGGGAGGATTTATCCCTTCTTCTATCTCACCCATTCCTCACCTTCCCCCAACACACTACAGCTCCTCCTGGGCCTCCTACCCCCTCGCCATGCCATGCAGAGCCATGAGCCGAGCATCTCACCTGCGCAGCTCCCATGGTGAACGATGACTCTCTGGATCTCATTGAAGTCAGATACGTATTCAGACGAGTCACCCAGGCTGGTTCCCGGGAGGTCCCTCGGAGGTGAGACGGAGCCATAGGGACTCTCACAGGCTGCCTCCTCATCTGGACTCTGGAAGCTCCCCTCTGACTGCCCCGACATCCCATGCAGCTCAGGGTTTTCAGGGCTGTCTTCAGGAAGGAGCTCCTCCGTTTTGATCACAACCCTTATGCCAGCTGCAGTGAAGAGAGATTCCCACCCACCATCATTCCAGGGAGCCGGGACAAAGAAACCACTTGCAACAATCCCCACCAGCTCTGGCTGCTGATCCCGCAGAGGGGTTTCAGCTGCTCTCCCTTCAACCACCCCTGCCATGCTCCTGCCTCTCACCTGGGATCTTCTGCACGCAGAGGGGACTGGCTCTGCCTGGCCTGGGGACTCAACACCTGCAGCTCAGCACCCCTCCACCACCCTACATCCCTGGCTGCCATGCTGGCTATCTGGCTGCCATGCTGGCTTCCTGTTGTTTTTTTCCTGTTGGCCTTGATCTAACTTAAAGATCGTTGTGACCAAGATCACAGCAGGGGGCTGGAACGACCCCAAGTTTGCAGCCTGGGGCAAGCGGAGCTGACACCATCTCTTCTTATCTCCTTATCCTCCCCCCCTTATCTCAGAGCAGGAGTCACTGCAGGACTCGGGGTCCCTGGTTCCCTGCTCTCAGCCCAGCCCTGACCTCAGAGAAACCCCTCAGCACCCCAGTACCCGTGCGCAGGATGGAGCAGGCTTCCCTGCCTGGGGGTTGCTCCTGGGATAAACCCAAGCACCATCCACACAGTCAGAGGGCACAGAGGCTTCTTTTGGTGGATGGGTTTACCCACCAGGACCCAATTCCCTGTTCTGCCAAACACACTGGCTCCCTGATGACCTGGTCTGGATACAGATGCTTCCCTTGCTGATGGCTCTTAGTGTCCAACTGTCTGGGCTCCACCTGCCCTGGTTTATATGTTGAGCTGTACCTGCAGATCCAACCACCCATTAGCCAAATCTTTCCCACTCCTAAGCAAGGCTCCTCCTAAGCAGGAACAGCTCTCAGCAACACTTGCTTTAGCCGCGGGGTGAGCACCTCCTCTAAATCTCTGTTCCCCTTTGTGCTAAGCTGCTGCCTCACCTGCAGTGGCATCAGTAATGATCTCACTCTCCTCCAAGTCTGGCTCATTCCTGACCCGCGATTCCTCTCCTTGCTCAATCTGAGACAAGACACCGGGTTTGGAAATTGCATAGTCTGTTGAGAAAGGGATGAAGAGAGGGATTACTGCACAGGGAAGTCCTAATATTGGCTTCCACCTTTCCTCATTCCCGGGGGGGGGGGACACGGACGGGACAGAGGAAGACATTCAGAAACATCCACACAGGGTCTGCAGACAGGAGAGCGTGGTGCTGTGGGCAGGCCAGGCTCCCCAGGTGGGCAGAAGGGAGTCACAGAGGCAGAAGCTGAGGAGCCACACACAGAGGAACTCCCTTTGAGAAGAAATCCAACCTGTGTGTTTTTCTGTGGGCTTTTAGAACTTCTCAGGTAAATTCCTGGCTCTCCTGAAGCCAAAAGCATTTCCATTCTGGATGCAGCAGAGCCAGGATTTCTCCTGCCAGCTTCAGCAGGAAACACCTCAACAGAGCACAGCTAAGACCATCTCAGACAATTTTTCCCTCTGGAAAAGTTTTCTCTGATGGGGTGCATGGGCTGGTACCCACTGCAGACCCAAAAGACAAAGGGAATCCCTTACAACAGCCATGGGGAAGGTGCTGGGTTTTCACCAAGTAACACTGGCTGGAAGGAGCCTTGGGAGGTCTCTAGCCCATCTCGTTTTGTGGGCATACCCACCACCAAGCTGGGACAACACTGTAACCCAAGCTGGGAGTGAACATTGCCGGAGGGATTCCCTTACCCAGACCAGAAACCTCCTCCTGTGATTTTAGGTCTCCTTTTAACAGGATATTTGGGTCTCAAGGAGATCCAAAGGGATCTCCAAGGAGGACTCAGAAGGTGCTCAAGCCTGCAGGCAGCCAGAAGCCCTGGAGAACACATATTTACCCAGGGAGATCAGCGACTCATAGTTCCCTTTCATCACATTCTTGTACAGCTCCTTCTGCCACTCCTCCAGCTTCTCCCATTCCTTGTTGTTGAAATAGACAGACACGTCGTCAAATGTCACTGGCACCTGCAATCACAGCAGCACGGGTTCAAGCAGCCACCTCCCTCCCCAGGAGCCCTACACCTTATCTCCAGTCTGTGGCAGCAGCAGCTCCTTCCCGCTTGGACATGGCCAGGATTCAGCTACCTCATGGCCATCAACGAATTGGTTTTCGTATTTAAAACAGCTCCTGGAGAGATATTTCTATGAGATCAAAGGTCCCAGTCAAATGGCCAGTCCCGGTCACGAACCCAGATCATGATTTCCAGCACCGACACCAACATCTTCCTCTTGGTCCCTAAACCAGTGGGGATGACCTGCAGAGGTGATAGGGCTTGTGCCCACCTGGAGGGACAGTCAAGGAGATAAAAACTGGGTGCTAGAGCTGGACCTCATCTCTATTGATGAGCTGATGTAAAACCCCAGAACTCGAGGGAAAGCTCTACCTGGGCCTGAAGGGCTCCAGCTATCATGAGTTAGTGTGTGCACATGGGCTAGGAGCAGACTGCAGCTTTCAAGTCTGTGTGCCAAGAAATAATTTCTAAGGATAAATCTGGGATGTGCAAGCTGCACCATGTCTGAATGGAGCTCTTCAGAAGGAGACGCAACACTCAGCTTTAACTCCCTGACTGCACTAACGGAGTGTTTGGGGCTGAATCCCCCTTTTCCGTAGCCCCTCCACTCTCTCCAGTGATGTCCCCTTTGCCATGTTCGACATGGTCCCATCTGCAAAGTTGCTTTTACTGAGATGATCATGAAATACAGGGAACTGAATACTGATTGTGGGCTCCCTCTGAAGCTCAGCTAAGCCCAACTGCAAACGCAGAAAGCTCACTTGCCTTCCCCTGAACCCCAGAGGTCCCCTGCTTGCTCCATTCCTGACCCAGGAGGCCCCCAGAGCAGCGCCAAGGTAGTAAAAGAGCCACCAAATCTGCAGGGTTTCTCTCAAATGTTGGTAAAAAAAGAAAGGGGAAAAAAAAAAAAGTGAATTGCTGCTGGGCTGTGCAGTGCGGTGAAGAAGTGAAACCTCCAGCTTGAGTGCAGGGGATCTTGCCTTCAGGTCCATCTCCCATTGCAGGCAGGTCCCATGGGAGAGATGCCAGGAAACCGAGAGCAGCAGCTCCGCTGTGAGTGACTCACCTGTGCTAGGGCTGTCCCTGCTCACCCACCACTTCTTCCCCCTGTCCTGCCCTCCATTAGGGTTTTGGGAGCATTTTGGGTGCAGACCCTGCACCCCAGAACACCGTTACCTTGGGGACTTCCCCCTTTCTGCCTGGGGGCAGCCGCAGGATCCAGAAATTCCTGTTCTTCAGGAGGTTCTCCATGTTCTCCAGGCGCCGCTGGAGCAGCCCGTACTCCTGGATGAGGGTGCCCAGTGCCGCACACTTGCTCTCCAGCTGGTTCCCCAGTTCTGCTGCCGTCTTCTCACAGTCAATCAGTTTCTTCTCTGCCATCCCCGTCCGACCCTCCAGGTCAAGTAGGCGGGTGGAATGGGAGTCCACCTTCCTCTCCACCGCCTGCACCGCCGCCACCACCATCAAGGACACCTCAGCTGTTTGCGTCTCCTGCTCCGAGGTGCGTTCATGCCCAGACACCGGCCGGAAGGGTGAGGAATAGCACGGCTGCTGCACCGGCTCCGGCGCCTGCAGGAAGAGGTGTGCAGGTGTCACGGGGGGGGGGGTGTGGGGGGGGTGTGTGTGTGCATCCTCAGGGTGACAGGGACCCCCGGGGAGGAGCATTTCAGAGCCTAGGGCAGTGGGGAAGTACCCGCGACCCTGCAGGGCGCTGACCCTGATAAGCTGCTTACGTCGGTCCCAAAGGATGGGCAGCACCAGCCACAGGGAGAGGAGAGAGCGCCCCGACACCGCAGGGCCGGGTGGTGACACTGGGGGAAGGGGATGACAGGGGACAGCTGAGCCCCGTTGCCATGGGCACGGAGAAGGGACACCCCGGGAGGGATGTCGGGCGCTGTCGGGGCAAGGGCACCCTATCACCATGGGGACCGAGCAGTGACACGGCGGGGGGGGGGGGGGGGGGAGGGGGAGGCGGCCTATCACCGGGGGACGGAGGGTCTGTCACAGGGAGGCAACTCCCGACCCGCAGGGCCCGGCCGCCAGGGTTGGGGAGGGCAGAAGGTGCAGGCCCGGCCCCCGACGGCAGCTCGGGCGCCGCCGGCCGCGGAGGCCCGGCCCGGCCCGGCCCGGTTGCACCGCCCCCCCGGGGCTGCCTAGGCTGCCGCAGCCGCCGCCGGCCCTGCCCGCCCCGTCCCCCCGGGGGGGCGGCCGCGGTGCCGCACGCTAACAGCCCCCGCCGCCCGTCCGTCCTGCCGCCCGCCCCGCCGCCTCCCGCCGCGGCCCCGACGGCGCGGCCCTCCCCGACGTGCGGCCCGCGGGCGCCGGGCCGGGCCGCGACGCTCTCTAGGCAGACGGCAGGGAGCGGCGGGCGCCCTTACCTGAGCGGGAGCCCCCTCGGCCATGGCCCTTTGTTCCCTGCCCGGGGCCCCGGGGGCCGCGGCCGGGAGGTTCCAGCAGCCGCTCAGCTCCTTCACCTCCGCCCGCCGCCGGGCATCGGGCTGGGCCCGGGGCGGCGCGGCGCGGTGGGGCGGTGGCGGGGCGGGGGCGCGGCGGGGCGGCGCGGCGGGGGCGGGGCGCGGCCCGGCCCGACCCGACCGGGGAAGGCGGGGGCGAAGGTCGGGGGGGGGCGAAGGGGCGGCGACGTGAGACCGAGCAGCGGCTCCGCGTCCCGGCTCCGCCGCTCCGCGCTGGGCGCTCCGGCCCCGCCGCTGCCCCGCCGAGCCGGCAGGGGGCGGGCAGGCCGCCGCCGTCGCGCGCGGGCCGCGCCGGGGGCCGCGCCTGGCGGGGCGGAGCGGGGCGCCCGCTGCCACCGCAGCGCCCCCTGTCGCATCGACGGCATCACCGCGCGCGGGCAGCCGCGCACCGTCGGGGCCCCCCCCGCCTACACTGGCCCGGCCGGCCCGGCCCAGCCATCGACTCCGCGACGCGGGGAAGGGGCCAAGGGGACGTGGGGGGTGCCCCGGGATCGGGTCTGTGGGTTCTCCGCGCCGGCCGCGGCTGGGAGAGGAACGGGGGAGAATGGGAGAACGGGGGTGACGCAGGGAAGGCTGCACGGGGGGCGGGGGATGGAGACGAGACTGGGGAGGACTGGAGAGGGACTGGGGTGACTGGAGGGGCTGGGAAAAGTGGGGAAGTATAGGAGGCGACTGGGGAGGAGATGCAATGAGATCGTGTGTGACTGGAGAGAGACTGGGGTTAACTGTAGGGGCTGGGAGAACAGGGGAAGCAGTGGGGGCAACTGGGGCAAGGCTGCGGGGAACCAGGGACGGACTGGGTGACTGGAGGTGCTCAGAGAACTAGGGAATGAGGGAAGTGAACTGGGGGGGGGGGGGGGGGGGGGGACGACGGACACTAGAGGCGAATTGATGTGCCTGGAGGTGTCGGGGGACCTGGAGAGGGTCGGGGAGAGGACTGGGGAGGGCCTTAGGGTGACTGGGAAGGGACTGAGGAGAACTGGGGAGGGACTGGCGGCAACTGGAAGCACTGGGGTTAACGGGAGCCCCACGAATAACTGGGATGACAGGACTGGGGGCACAAGGGCTGTTCCTGGAATAACTGGGCTAAGGGAGAGAACTGAGGGAGATCTGAGGGTGGCTGGTGTGGGAACTGGGGAGGATTGAGGAGGGGCTGGGGAAGCTGGGGTGGGGGGTGAGGGGTAACTGGGAAGGCCCTAAGAGAATATGGGGGGGGGGGGGCTGGGGTAACCCGGGGCCCCTGGGGGTCCCAGGGGACTGATCTGACTGCGGGGTGGGGGTTGAGAAGGGAATGGGAGAGACTGTGGGGAACGGGGGGCAGATCGGTGTGACGGGGCAGCCAGGGGAGCCGAGGGCCCTAGCGTTCCCCTTGGGGAACTGGGGGAGGACTGCGGTCACTGCGGGGGGGTTACTGCGGATGCCGCGGGGACCGGGGGAGGACACCGCGCACGTAGGGAGGGGGGGAGGGCCCGGCCCGCACCGTCGGGCGCCGCCATGGCCGGGGCTGGCTCGGGCGCCCCCTGGCGGCCCCTTCTCTCCGCGGCACGGCCCCGCCCCCCCGCCTTGCGGCCTCGCGCCCCGCGGGCCTGTGAAATGGCGGCCGGAGGGCGGTGTCGCCATGGCAACCGGCCGACCGTTAACAGCCACCCGCCCCCGCGGCCTCCGTGCAGCTCCCGCGCCTCCCCGCTTGTCCGCCTCTGCCCCGTCCAGTCCCGTCCTACCCCATCCCGTTTGTGTCGCCCGGTCCTGGTCGGCCTGTTTGCTCCTGTACCGTTCCCGTCCCCATGCCTAGCCTGTCCCATCCCATCCCAACCCCATCCTGTCCTGTCCCATCACATTTCTTTCCACCCTGTTGTGTCCTGTCCAGTCTTGCTATATCTCACCCTGTTTCACCTTATCCATCCCACTGCATCCTGGCCCACCTGTGCCATGTCTCATCCAGGTCCATCATGTCCCATTGCATCCCCATCCCATTTCCTTCTACTCGGTTGTGTCCTGTCCAGTCTTGCCATGTCCCATCCTGTTCCACCTTATACAATATCTATCTCATCTGTCTCATCCAGTTCCATCATATCCTATCCCATTACATCCCCATCCTGTCCCCGTCCCCTCCCCTCCTCATCCCGTTATATCCCCATCCCATCGCATCCTATCACCATCTCATCCTGTCACATCCCCATCCCATCACATCCCATCCTCATCCCATCACCATCTCATCCTCATCCCGTCATATCCGCATCGCATCCTATCCCATCTCATTCACATCCCATCCCATCCCCCCCTGTCATGTCCCACCCAGTCCCATCCCCTCCCGCCCTAGTGTGTCCATGTGCCTGCACACTGCCCCAGGCAGGACCTGGTATGCAGCCCCTGGCACATGGTCTCTCTCCCGACCTCGGGGATACCTGGCACAGGGTGACACTGAAGTCGATGACACCAATCCCAGACAAGGGCAGGGAACCCTTTGGTTTGCAGGAAAAGGGAGCAAAGGGATGAGGCTGCATCCCATCACCACTGTGGTGCTAGGGCCAGGAACGTGGGCTTTGGGGTACAACACCCATTCCATCCACCCAGGGGAGGACAAGGCAGGGACCCGGATTGGGGCACTCCTGTTTGACCCCCTCCAGGCTGTCTGAGGGAGCCACAGCCCCTCCCGTTGGGAGCGATGGAAACCAGGAGCAGCTCTTCGCCGTGACCAGCCAGAGGGATCGGGAAGCAGCCGCTGTTCCTGTGTTCATGTGAGTGCAGTGTGCCCATGGTCCAAGCTGCCAGCCACGTATGTGTGTGTGTATATTCACAGGCACATGCCAAGAGCATGTGAATACACCATAAAAGTACAAGTGTGCATTTACGGTGTCTCCATGTGCTCGTACGTGTTCAGTCTCATCACTGCCACTGCCCTGTGCCTGATCTGCATGGTGCGTTTTCACCTCTTATGAGTCTTTTCTTTCCTCCTCCTCCCTCTCTCCACCACATCCAGAATCCCTGCACCCTCCCTACATGGGACAGCCCTATCCTGCCTGGTTGCTCCATAGTGAACCAGAGATTTGGCGGGGGTCACCCACCCTGGCCCCACAGGCACTGGGCATGGCTGGGACAGGTGGAGGATCCCCGGCACCCTCCAGTGTCAGCTGCTGGGAGCCTGTGGGATGTGAGTGCCAGGTCCTTGTGCTGGCTCTGACCCATGGACAGGCCCCATGGGCCACCCTGCCCACACTCCATGTTTGGCCCCAAGCCAGAACAACCCCTTGAGCCCTTGTCTAAGTTCTGGGGGGGGCTCTGGTAGAAGCCCCCACAGGGAGGCCTGCCCTAGGAGAGGTACCAGCCCCCTGTGCTGGGCTCTGTAAGGGAATAACATAAGGGATGCTGGGCTGGGGGGAACTCCTGAAGGGGCAGCATGTCCCCCCTAGCACCCCACAGTGACATAGGGACATCCAAAGACTAGGTGTTGACAGCCAGCAGCAGCCCAGGATGCTGGCCCCAGGGCTGGGGGGTGTGAGGCTGCACCAGTCTCCCCTCCACAAACACCTAAAGAGAGAGGGGATGCCCCTGGCACAAACACTCCCCCAGTGGGATGAGGGAATGAAGATGCAGCACAGCACTAGGGGATATGCTGCAGGGGAAGAGCTGGACCCTCCTGGAACATCATGGGGCCCTGGCCAGCCCCACATCCCCAAGGCCATGCAGCTCCGCACCCTGTTCCCCAGGATGCACCAGGCCCCGGCGCGGTGAGACAAAACGGCATGCGGCCCCGTGGGGCCAGGCCTGACAGGAACGGTTTATTGGCAGCCCCTTACAAAGAGCTTGGGTATATGCGAGCAAGGAAGTAGCAATGCAAACCCAGCATGGCCCGGCTCGGCGGCTGCCCTCCCCGCATGCCAAGGTCCCACCAGTTCCACTGGGACACCACACAGCACCGCAGGGCCAGGCTGCCACGTCTGGTGAGAGATGAACCCGCAGTGTTGGCAGCTAGGTGCTCAGCAGCGCGCTCCTGGGCTGTTCTTGCCTCAGTGCCAGAGGGTCAGTCCACCACATCCCAGCTCTGAGGCGCAGGGCAGTGCTGCAGCCGCGTACGCTGGCGCTTCTCCCAGCATGGGACTGTCCGGCTCTACCTGTCAGCAGAGCCTGGCTGCATCCAACGACTCCTCAGCCACTGCTGTAGCCCTGTCTGTGTGTGGCACAGGCCAGCTTCTCGCATAAAACCAAAGTCTGCTTCCAGCCATAGCGGCAGCAGAGAAAAAGCTTAAAAACACAAAGCCCAAATGCCAGACACCGACCGCAGCAGCTCCAGAGCTGCACCAAGCAGCCTCATCTGCTGGCTCTGGCTCCCCAGCTTGGCTTGTGTGGTTTATCAGTTCTGCAAGTTACCTGGAAAAAGCTGACAGATAACAGCCAAGGGCTGGGCATGGGTGCTGCAGCGTGGCGAGCAAGGACAAAACATAGGCGGTGAGGGGACCAGGGCTGCCAGCACTCACCCAACACCAGCTTCAGAATGGAAACACTGTATTGACGGACTTTACAAAAGTTATTACAAAACACAACCACGAACCAGCAACTGACAATACACAGCGGAAGAGACACCACTTAGAGCCACCTCAGAACAACACCAATTAGCTCCGAGAAGTCAACCAATATTTACACAGACATCTGAAAAAACTCTGTTATCCCATACATTTAAATGTTTTAGATCGACTGTGAAATATAGTGCCACATTTCCTTGTAGTATAATAATAATAATTAATAACAATAATAATATAATAATATATCGCATAATAATAATATTCTACGTCTAGCATAACTAAAAACCAAACAGCTCTTTACAGGGGTTAGGAGAAGTTGCTTTCACTCATCTGACTTACCTGAATGTGAGACCAAACTCAGTAAAAAATAAGACTAAAATCGCCTTCATTGACAGGAGTCTGTGTGACAGACCAGTGGCTCCGTTCCCTCAGGCCACAGGGAATCAACAGCCCGCCTGGTGCCAGTAACATCCTTTGAAAGAACAGAGATGTGTGCTCCTTGGGTGAGTCACTTGACTGCTTCCACACGCTGCCCTTCCCGACTCCTCCTACTCCGATGTTCACAGCCCCTTCTCCTGCCTGTCCTTTCCTCCAGCACTTACTCATTCTCACCTTGCTCTTTGCCTCTCTCTCCCCTCCACTTTTCTGCCTTCAACAAATCCTGTGTTGTGCCTCTCACCGTGCCTCTGCTTTGCCTCTCTTCCCTTCATTCCAGCCCCGGCCTTGCAGCACGGGGCTGCCATTCCAGGCACAGCAATGCAACAGGAGCAGGCGGCCAGTTGTCTGGGAATGGCACCTTCCCTCCCTTTTTCCTTCCCTCCCTCCCTCGTGCTTCCAGCCTTGCAGTGAAAAGAGTGGAAAAAAGAAAGCGAAAGCTTGTCACTCCTGAATATGCACAAAGATAGGTGGGGGAACACCTGCTAAATAAAGACCCCGGAGAACCGCTCGGGATTATTCGCCACAGGCAAAATCCAAACCAGTGTAGAGGACAACTAGCACAAGGCCTGTGGAAGTCCCCCATCACCTCGCAGGGTCGCAGAAGTGCCTGGGCCATCTGGTCAAGAGTTTGTTTTTTTAAGAGGAATTCCTTTGATGCTTCAACAAAGTGGGCTCTGTAGCATGACCACATGGATTAGCTGCGACACAAGCTTGCCTCCCATCATGCTGCACGTCCACCTGCGAGGCCGTTCACAATAACCGTGAGCCCTTCCGCCCTGCCCCCCGTGTGCCAGCGCTACTGCTTAGTTTCTTTTTTCACACACAAGAGGCTGGTCTGAGTGCCTGACTCCAGCCTGAGCTGCGAATCCTCCATGGGTCGGGGGGTGCGGGAGTGGATTTTCTGGTGGCAATTCAGAGACTCTTTGTAGCGGAAGTGCTTCCCACAGACAGGGCACTGGTAGGGGGTCTCCCCGGTGTGCACCCGCCAGTGCTTGAGCAGGTGGTCCCGCCGGATGAAGCTCTTCCCGCACTCAGTGCACTGGTATGGCCTCTCCCCTGTGTGGATGCGCTGGTGGCGGATGGCTTTGGAGAGGTCGCGGAAGTCCTTCCCGCAGTAGGTGCATGTCAGCGGCCCGTCACCCTTCCCTGTGTGGAGCTTCTGGTGCAAGATCAGGCTCACTTCCAGGCTGAAGCTCTCCTTGCACTGGGAGCAGGTGTAGGGTCTCTCCACCATGTTGTTCACCTGGTGCCTGACAAAGCCGTACTTGAAACCAGAGCTCTTTTCCCCATCAGAGCGTTTGGACTGTTTGGAGCGGGAAGACCCCTGGCCTTTTGTTTTGGGTTTCTGCCTCAAGCCTTCTCCGTGCTCCAGGGAAGTGCAGGCTTCCTCGCTGGCGTGCGCTTTCTGATGGGTGGCAAACAGCTCCTTGTCCAGGAAGCTCTCCCCACACTCACAGCAGATGTATGGCCCCTCTACTGAAGCCACATCCTCAGGAGCATCCTTCTTGGCCAAGTCTCTCCCGCGGCGAGAGGAGCGCCTCAGCCCGTTGCCTGTTCTCTGCTGCGAGGTTGATCCGCTCCGGCTCTTGCTGCTTGGCTTTATCTCCTCCTCTGGGCTTGAGAAAACCTCTTCCCACTTTCCTGCCAAGGAGCTAGGAAGCTCAAGGATTTCGGAACCTTCCTCATCACACTGCTGTTCATCTGCCAGAGCAGAGATAGTCATGTCATTTCTTTGAGATAGGAACTGTCCCATTATTTAGACCCCAGTTCTCTCAGGTCAAAGGTGGTCTCTGCTTGCACATTCAGGACAGCACCTGGTACTACAGCGTTACAAGTCCCACCTGGGAGCTACCTCAGCGGTGTGGGAGTATGAACAAAGCCAAAGTATTCTGACTTAGAATCACAGAATCGTTTTGGTTGGAAAAGACCCTTAAGATCATCAGGTGCAACCGTTAACCTGGCACTGCCAAGTCCACTACTAAACCATGTCCCTCAGCACCACATCTACATGTCTTTTTAATCCTTCAAGGACTGGCGACTCCACCACTGCCCTGAGGCAGCCTTGTTCCAGTGCCTGACACTTCCATTGAACAATTTTCCCTAATATCCAACCTAAACCTCCTTGGCACAACACGAGGCCATTTCCTCTTGCCCTATCACTTGTTACTTGGGAGAAGAGCCTGATCCCCACCTCACTACAACCTCCTTTCAGGCAGCTGTGGAGAGTGAGATCATCTCCCCCAATCTTAATTTTCTCCAGGCTAAACCACCTCTCCTCAGCCACCCCTCACAGAACTTGTGCTCCTGGCCCTTCAGCAGCTTTGTTGCCCTTCTCTGCACCCACTCCAGTACCTCAACATCTCTCTTGTAGTGACGGGCCCAGAACTGAACACAGGATTTGAGGCACAGCATCACCTGGCCCTGCTGGCTACACTACTGCTGATACAGGCCAGGATGACATTGGCCTTCTTGGCTGCCTGGGCACAAGCTGCTCATGTTCAACTGTTGACCAACACCCCAGGTCCATTTCCATTGAGCAGCTTTCCAGCCACTCTTCCCCAAGCCTGGAGCATTGCATGGGGTTGTCGTGACCAAGTACAGGACCTGGCACTTTGCCTTGTTGAACCTCACACCATTGTCCACAGCCCATTGATCTGGCCTGTCCAGATGCTTCCTACCCTCCAGCAGATCAACACTCCCAGCCAACTTGCTATCATCTGCAAACAGACTGAGGGGTCATTTGATCCCCTTGTCCAGATCATTCATAAAGACTTCTTGGAAAAGCTGAGACAGCACAATGATAAGATCTCTACATGTAACTAGACAAAGGGAAGCAGAAGTGGATTCCTCAGCAGGAGGTGAAGCAGAACAGGTCTTTAAGAACCTGTGGTTTAGGGTAAAGGCAAAAAATAATAAAAATTAAGGGAAGCGGAATAAAATCGCTTTTCCTTTGGAGCTTGCACAAGGCCTGGGGCCGAAGGATCTCCTGTAGTATGAATGGGAACTAAAAGCAGCCACTAAGGACCCTGGCAAAAGGAGGATGAAAAGAATCCAGAGATTCTGGAGATGTGGGGAGGAGAGCTGGAAACCCACAGGTTTCTGCAGGGTGCAAGAAGGCAAAGCTGTACTGAGAATTTGCATGCCCAGGGAAGACCTCGGCACTCCCTGTCGCAGGCTCTTCATCTGCTTGTCACTTGTGACATCAAAACGTGGGCTTGAAAACAGGCTGCCTTCTCTTCCTCAGGCTGATGCTCTGGAAAAGCACCAGCCAGAACCACTGATCTGCTTCTGAGAACAACGCTGGGAAGCCAAAAGCACGTCCTAGCACGGCATGCTTCCCAAAGCAGCTCACGTGTCCCTGTGCTTCAGAGCTAACACCATCAAAAGCCTGCCTGTGCTACACTTCAAGGCTGACCAAATACACACTCTCACCAAGTGATGAGACACTGTACAGGTGGTCTGCATGCCCTAGCCAGCCCACAGCTGCTTTTAGAGCCTGCTGCTTATGTATCGCAGCTTCTGCATGTGTGCTATCCATCTGCCTCGGCTGCTGTTCAGCTCCCACAGTGACCCTTGAGGCAAGCCTGGCAAAGACTGTGGTTAAGGCAGGATCTCACCCCGGGCAATCCCCAGCATGCGCCAAGAGCCTGAGCCTGCTTCTGTCTCCCTCTTTCTGCAGTGCTCAGTGAAGCTCTGCACTTCTAACTCACATGTACAAGGAACTTCCATGCCTTCTTCTTCTTCTTCTTCTTCAGAGCCATCGTGGCTTTCAGCCAGAGCCTCTTCATATTTACTCCACGAGCAATCATCAGGACCAGGAAAGGAAAACTCTGCGCACAAGAAGAGGAGTTTATGCTGAGGCCTCCCAGCTGCTTTACAGAGGATTTCAGGAGATGGCCGCACCGGGTAGGAGCCAGCGAGAAAAACTAAGCCACCGGTGCACCCAAGGGCAGAGCTGGACAAACTCATTGGCAGAGGCAAGTGGAAGAGTGCAGGCAGGTGCTCTTCCACTTCTGCTTCTGCTTCTTCCACACACCTGCTTTCTACCTCCCCACTGTGTCCTAGGAATCTTATGGCTCACCAGTGCTGGGGTCTGTAGGGGTTTCTCCTCCCTCAGAGTCCTCCGGATCCTCCGCGTTGGGATCCTCTCCTTGCTCAATCCGTGACAGAAGGTCTGGCTTCGAAATGGCCGCATCTGCATATGAAAAGAGGATCAAAACATTTCCTTCGCCCTCACGGGAGTGAGACTCTCAAACCTTTGCCCACCAACCTTCCTTCGCTGCTGGGGGTGACGGGTAATGGAAAGAGAGGCTTATGATGCTCTCACACATCTGCACCGCTCACCTTGTCTGGGCCCTGGGAACATGAGCGGACTGCAGGAGCACACTCTGCTCAGGTGAGGAGCACCTCCCAGCCTGCAGCGCGAGGAGGAGAATAAGAAAATGCATCTGTGCTTACCTCCAGGCTTCCTTTCTTCTCCTCTCTGCTAAGGTCCGCGGATCCATTACAATGGGGACTTCAGCTCGGGGACAGCACCAGAGCTGTCAGCCAGCAGCAGCAGGGGAAGTGCCCTCCCCATGCGGTTCCCTCCATCCTACTCGTCCGAGTCACAGGCTGCTTGCGGATTTTGGTGGGGGAAAGGGGACAATCACAATCTCTCCTAGGGTGGAGAGCCGAAAACTTCATTCCCAAACTAGCGTGAGTCTCTGGGCATTAATTTCCACCGCTGCTCTGGTGGATCCATTTGCCTTATGCGAGGGCCAAACCCCTGAACCTCATTATCAAAGGAAACCTTCAGACGAAGCACAGATACGTTTTTGTAAGCTCCAGGCTCAGATCCACAGATCCTCCTCAGCAGGACTGTTACGTTCCCGCACCTCTAGAGTGGGACACAGGGTTGGATTTTAACATAACGGGGGGCGGTATTTACCCTTCCCCTTTTTCCCCTGCTCACGGAAGACCTCTGTCCAAAAAAAATAAAGAAAGAAAGGGGGAAAAAATGATGAAAGGCCTGGCTGGACCAGTGTTGAACAGCAGGGTGGTGGGTGAGCCTGCACACTAGTGGCCTCAGCACAGGGAAGAGATGCCGGTCTACCAGGAACTGTGGCTGCGCTGCCACGCACTGCACACAGACATCCAGCCAAGGGGAGGTCACTTTTGAGAACACACATAGGTGCTCATGAAGGCACCACATCCCCCAGAGGGAATTCCCGCAGCCAGGACTGGAAGGAGCGAGCAGAGCACTGAGTTCATTTCACTGTGAACACGCAGCCCTACCGCAGCAGAAACCACAACAGCTTGAGCAAGAAGCGTTCCCTGGGATGAGGCCGCGGTCAGAGATAGCACCAAAGCAGGCAACAGACAAACCTCACTCTCCTCCCTTACGGAAGCTGAAAGACTATCACCAGGGAAAGGGCTGGAAGGAACCTCAGAGGCAGGGCACCCCTCTGCTGCCCTAAGCGGCGAGCGGGCTGACACACCCAGCGCAGTGGATCTGTGGACCTTTGCGTGACAAAGAAACTCCCCTCTCCCCCACCTTTCCGTGGCTGGAGGGTCCTCTCGCTTCCCCTCCTCCTCACGACCCAGCAGCTCGCTCGGCTCCTACTGGCCACAGAGACTGTCAGGGAAACGCAGTCACCGCAGCGATGCTCGTGACGTCCGTCCACCGTTAAACTGAACTGGTGAGGACTGAACTACCTGCCAGGGCTGCTGGTGAAAGCTGGCACAACGTGTTCCCAGAGCAGTACACTGCCCACCCTCCCCAGCCCTGCCAGGCACAGCGGTGCTTCCATCCACCAGGACCTGGGAAAACCTGGTGCAGCAGAAGGCTCAGGGCAAACCCCAGCCCATCTTTACCCATTGAGATGACGGCCTCGTAGTTGCCTTTCATGATATGCCTGTAAAGCTCCTTCTGCCACTCATTCAAGCTCTTCCACTCCTCCTCAGAAAAGTTAAAGGAAGCATCGTTGAATGACACAGGGACCTGTAATGAGATGCACTGTATGTTTGGATGTTGTGTCTCTTGTTGAAGTGTCATGGTTTAGACCCAGCTGGTACCTCGGCACCATGCAGCTGTTCACTCACCACCCCGCTTCCCCACTCCAGGCAGGATGGGGAGGAGGATCAAGAGAATGTAAATCCTACAGGTTGCAATAAGAACAGTCATACAACTAAAGTATAATATAAAACTACTACTAATAAAAAGGGAAATAACAAGGAGGGAGAATATAAAACTAAAAGAAAAAAAAACAACAACAACAAAAAACACCTCCCAACTAAACAGCAGTGATGCACAACTCAATTGCTCACCACCCACTGACTGATAACCTGCCCGACCCAAGCAGCAATTGATCCCTTCTGGCTAATTGCCCCCAGTTTCTACACTGGACATGACTTGCTGTGGTACAGAATACCCCTTTGGCTAGTTTGGGTTAGGTGTCCTGTCTCTGCTTCCTTCTGGCATCTTCTGCCTTTCCTCATTGGCAGAGCATGAGAGACTGAAAAGTCTTTGGTCAGGGTAAGTGCTACTGAGCAATAACTAAAACATCAGTGTGTTACCAGCATTGTTCTCAGACTAAAGCCGAAACACAGCACTGCATCAGCTACTAGGAAGAAAAATAACTGTTACACCTGAACCCAGGACATGAAGAAAACACCCAGGGATGTTTCTTCATTCAAATTCTTCAAGCACAGTGCAAGACAGTCCCATGCAGCAACATCTACTCCTTTCCAAACACCTCGCTCAGCCTCCATGCCAAGCTCAGGTAGCTTCACTCCTGCCCACAAGGGACACAATGGGGTTTTCCCTTATCACGTGCCTGCACCTTGACTCCTTGCTCAGCCTCCTCCTGCGGGCCCTGTTGTGGGCACAGCACCTGACACAGGCTCTTTCCCCACTTCGTTTTTGACATGGTTCTGTTGTTAATTGCCTCTGAACAGGCACTGGGGATACCAGTAACCTGACAGGTACACAGGGCTGAACCACACAGTTCTGCCCAACTCAAACACAGCTCCAGTCACGCTAAGGGGTTTGTGATCCCATACAGAGCAGACTGTGTGTTTTGGCAAGGCTCACATGTACATAACAAGTGGTGCATAATTAACACATAAGGATCTGTGCTGGTGCTTCTGCCTGAGCACTAAAGACAAGACATTACTACAGGGAAGCTGAGTCCCACTCAGCACCGCAGTCACTTAAACAGGGCTGTGAGCACAGACTACGTGCCAAACAACCCCATTCCAAAGATGGAGCAGAGGACCGTTACCTTGGGGACCTCCCCCTTCGCCCCTGGGGGCAGCCGCAAGATCCAGAAGTTCCTGTTCTTCAGCAAGTTCTCCATATTCTCTAGCCTCTTCTGCAGCTGCCCATACTCCTGGATGAGGGTGCCCAAGGCTGTCCACTTGCTCTCCAGCTGGTTCCCAAACTCCACTGCCGTCTTCTCGCAACCAATCAGCTTGGTTTCTGCCATCCTCATCCTCCCCTCCAGGTTCATCAGCTGGGCTGCCTGGGCATCCACCTTCCTGTCCACGGCCTGGATCTCAGCGACCAGCGTTAGGGAGATCTCAGCGGCCGGCAGCTCGGTCTCGGCAGCAGGGCCCTGCTCCGGAACGGGCAGCGGCTGCTCCAGGGCCAGCTCCTGGGACTCCATGTCCCACTCCAGGTCCTGCAGGAACACAGACACGGCCGTGGGCTCCGCCGCCACAGCTAAAGGGCACCGCGGCTGACCTCAAGGCGATCGCGGGGCGAACGGAGCAGCGCTGGGCCCACACCGGCGCCGACAACCCTCGGGCGCGGCCGCCGACGGGGGACGAGGGGCGGCGGCTAGCGGAGAGGGTGGGAGATCGGCAGCAGCGCTTACCTGAGCGGGGGCCCACTCGGCCATGGCCCTGCGGAGGGCGGCGAAGGGCGGCGGGCGGCAGCGGCGGAACGGGGCGGAGCGGGACGGGGCGGAGCGGAGCAGACGGCTGCGCGGGCCCGGCGCCTCCTCAACAGAGACGGGACTCAGCAGCCATGCCGAGAGCGCAGTGAACACTGGGAGTGGCGGCGGTGCCGGCGGCAGGTGGCGCCGCAGTGACACCTAGTGGCGGGCGGACCACGCAACACCAGCGACGGGAGAGACCACGCACCAGAACACCCAACGCCGCATCCCTGACCCCGCGCTGATTGATTGGGCTGCGGCCCAGCCAATCCGTGAGGCGCCCGCGGGCGGCTGGCCAATGGCAGAGTACAGCGGAGCGGGGGGGCGGGGCTTCGGGCGTGCCGGGGAGCGCGCTCCCGCCTTTGGCAGCGGGACCGCGCGGGGCGGGAGCGGCGTGTTCGGGGCTGCACCGGGACACACCGGGCGGGACGCGGCCTGGCCCAGGTACAGCACCGGCGGTGGTCCTGCGGCCCACGAGGCTCGCTGGCCGCGCTCCCATCCCCTCCCTGGTCGGCCCTGCGGGCGCCGCCGACTCCCCGTGCCCGTGCCGGCCGTCCCTGCGCCGTCATCCCGGTGCAGCGAATCTTTCAATCGCTGTTGTCCCCCCCGCAGGTGAGGCCCTGCCAGGAGCAGCACGGGGAGCAGCTGCCGTGTCTCCCCAGGGACCGACCGGGACGGTGCCGGTGCCATGAAGGAGGACCCCGAGCGCCCCGTCGCCTTGGGTGAGGCTCGCGGGTCCTGTCCGCCGCCAGCCCTGGCGCTGCAGGTCATGGCCTGGCCGGGAGCGGGGCCCGCGGCACGGTGGCGGCAGCACCGGCCTGGTGGGTGGTGGCAGAGGGCGGCCGTGGGGCGGTTCCGGGGTCACCGCTGGACCGCGTCTCTTACCGCGGGATTTCTGTGGCGCGGGGACGCCAGCGCAGGCCAGTTGTGACCAGCCGCCGTGCAGCGGCATCACCGGTAGCACCACCGTCCGGCCCTCCTCTTGTTTCCACAACAGGTTACACCGTCACCAAACCCGACATCCTGGCTGAGGTGGAGCGAGGAGAGGAGGCAGCGGCAGCAGCAGGGCACTACAGAGAGCACCGGAGCCCTGGGCCACGTATGGCACCCGCTGGCCCCTCCCAGGGTGAGTGGGACAAAGGAGCTGGGGCTCGGGTGGTAGGCCAGATCCTGCTGGGCGGGAGGGCTTGATCCCACGGGATGCCCAGTGAGGGGATCACCCTCAAACAGGTTTCTGTCTCTGCAGGGGACTGGCTGGGGAAGGAGGTGAAGAGTGAGGAAGGGGTGTCCCCGCCGCCTGGCTCCCCCCCATCCCACCGCACTGCCTCCAGCGACTTCCCCGTCCCGCTGCAGGAACGGGGCTGCAGCTATTGCGGCGTCTCTGAGCCAGAGCTAAATCCCAGTGTTGGTAACGGGGGGTTCATCACCTCACCCCCTGCCTTCGAGAGCCGCCGGTGCCAGCCAGGGGAGCCGCTGCTCGAGTGTGCTGAGTGCGGCCGAGGCTTTGGACAAAAGCCAGACCTGGTGCGGCACCGGCTGGTGCACAGTGGAGAACGTGCCTATGCCTGTGGCCGCTGTGGAAGAGGGTTCACCGAGGTGGTGGTGCTGGGGACCACAAGCGGCCCCTGCCGCCCAGCCCCCTGTGCCAGCCGCTCCTCGGGGACGGCAGAGGGGACAACGGCAGCACCCCGGAAGGAGCGGAAGGAGTTGTCACTGACAGAGAAGGTACGGGTGCTGGAGATGCTGGAGGGCCCCAAGGTGTCACAGAATGAGCTGGCCAAGCGCTTTGGGGTGTCACAGCCCCAGATCTGCCGCATCATCAAGAACAAGGAGCGGATCCTGAGTGAGTGGCACCGCAGTGGCGACCCTGAGCGCAAACGCAAGCGGGAAGGGAAGGACGTAGCCCTGGAGACTGCTCTGCTGCGCTGGGTGAAGGGTGCCTGTGCCACCGACCTGCCTGTCAGTCGCCCGCTCCTCCAGCTCAAGGCCAAACACCTTTCCGAGACACTGGGCCAGCCCGACCCGGAGCCCAGCAGTGGCAGACTGGCTCGCTTTGGGATGCGCCACAGCCTCACCTTCAAAAAGCCACTGGTGGAGAAAGGAGACTCAGAGCAGCCCACAGCTGAGCATTGGGCCAGTGCGGTGCTTCCTGGCCTCCTCCGCAGCTATGCGCCTTCTGAAATCTATGCCTGCGGGGAGACGGCCGTCCTCAACCCAGCCAGCTCCCCCGGTGAGAGCACCGGTGACCGGCTGACACTCCTGCTCTGCACCAATGCCAGCGGCTCAGAGAAGGCCCCACTGAGGGCAGTGGGGGAGAGCACCCAGCCCCGCTGCCTGCGGGGTGTCAACCTGGGGCAGATGCCCTGGAGCTACCGTGCCAGCAGCCTGGCCACTATGACCGCTCCCCTCTTCGCTGAGTGGCTGCGGGAGTTCAATGAGGGGATGCGGCGGCAAGGGAAGAACATCCTTCTCCTCCTCAACAAGCACGAGGCTCACCCCTACCTTCAGCTTTCTAATGTCAGAATTGTCTTTGTCCCACCAGCTGCCACCCTGGTCCAGCCCCTCGACCGCGGCATCACCAGTGACCTCAAGGGCCACTACCGGCGCCGACTGCTTAGGTGGCTGCCGGCAGAGCGTGGTGTGGGGCAGCCGAACCTCCTGGATGTTCTGCACATGCTGGCGCAGGCGTGGGGTGACGTGCACCCTGGGCTCATTGCCAGCTGCTTCCGTGCTGCCAGCTTCTTCCCCGACGCCAGTACCGAGGCCCCAGCGCGTGGCTTGCTCAGCCAGGAGCAGCTGGAGCGCCGCACGCTGACGGACAAGGAGTTGGAGCGTGATGGAGAGCTGGTGGACGGGGGTGAGGGGACTGCGGATGCTGAAGATGGTGGAGAGCTGGCAGCGGTGCAGCCCTGCCCCTCGGAGCGGGAGGTGTGGCGGAGCCTGGCCACGCTGCGGCGGTACCTGGAGTGCCAGGCCACCTCGCCAGACCTGTTCCAGGCCTTCTACGAGCTGGAGGATGCTGTGCACATGCTGTCAGCTGGTACCGGGCAAGCCCTCACCGGGGACAACCCTCCCAGACTGTGAGCGCCAGACCCGCTCGTGCCTGTCATGGGAACTGGTGTTCACCAGCTTGGCCTGGCCATTGTCTCCTGCAGCAGTGTCAGCCGAGTTGTGCTGTGGGGTTTGCTGTGGGTCTGTGTGGCTCAGGGACAAAGGGAGTGCCCAGTGGGGTGCATGGAGGCTGTGAAACTGCAATGCTCAGGGACTGGCTGTGGCAGCACTGGGGGCATGAACCTGCTGCCAGAACTTTCTCCCAGAGTGTGGTTTCTGCAGCAGCAGGAGCTGTCATGGAGCTGCCCCTGGGGACAATTTGCCCTGAGTGGGGTGGTTGTGTTTACTGGGGGGGAGGGGGAAATGGGGTGGTGCTCTGGTATCCCCCATGCTAGGGGCTCCTCCCACTTCCCATGGGGGTTTTGGGGTGATCGGGTGCCACCAGCTGCTGTCACCACCTTGGTGCCCGAGGGCTTGCGACAGGCATTAAAAAGGCAGAAATCAGCAAAGCACAGCACAGGTGGTGATTGTAATATTTTAACCGGGACAGAGACCCCACTATCCCTGAGGGCCACTCTAAACCTCCCCTTCACCTGCCTCACCTTGGCCAGGACCTCGGGGAGGGTGGGTGAGGACACGTGGGAGGGTTTGGGCAGGAGGCACCTGTTGGGACACGCCTGGGCAGGACACACAAGAGGTGCCCATTGGGGTGTCTGTGGTGGGAGGCCCATTGGGATGCAGTGACTCTGGGTACTGAGCAGCATCAGGGTGCACAGGACAGAGCATGCAGGGGGTATTGGAATGTGTCCATCTGGGTGCATGAGGTGCAGGGGACACCTGGATGCCTGCCAGAGTGAGCGGAACAGGGACAGTGCAATGGGTGCTCCTGGGGTGTACAGGGCAGGGTGCACTGAGCGATGCCCACTGGGATGCACAGGAGTACAGCAGTTCCCCTCAGGGGAGCAGGGGATGGGATGCACCGGGAAGTGCCCATGGGGATGTGCAACTGGAGATTCAGGGAGCGCATGGGAGGGTTCAGGCACTCGCTGTGTGTGAAGTTGCCTGTGGAAACGCACAACACATGCAACGCATGTGCAAGGGATCCTGCAAGGGATACGCAGGGGTGCAAAGGAAGGGGTGCATGTAGGGATGTGCCTAGGGGATTGCATGGTCACGGGGGTGCAAACAGCAGTCGGGGGATGCAGGCACAGGTTGCACGAGGAGTGCCCATGGGGATACAGAGTCACGGGGGTACAAGGGAAGAGAGTGTCCCACGGTTGAGAGCATCGGGATGCAAGAGACGCGCAGGGATGCACAGGGAAGTACCTACAAGGATGCACAATCGCAGGGCGACACACCCCGGGTGGGCGTGCATGCGGGGACGCGGTGCACCGTGGTAGGGCAGGAGGTGCCTGTTGGGACACACCTGGACATGCCACGGGGATGCACAATCACGGGGCGGGGGGGGACGGGGACACGCAGCACTCGAGGCGGGTTGCAGGGTGCAGGGATGGGGTGCAAGGGGGGAACCCCAGGAGGATGCATAGTCACGGAGGGGGGGAGCGTGCAGCACCCAAGGGGAGGCGTGTGGGTGCACGGGGTGCACGGGGGGATCCCCACCGGGATGCAGCACCCGCGGGGATGCGTGTGGATGCGCGGGTGTTTCTGTGTGGTGTTCCCGCCTTCCCCCCGCAACCCCGCGTAACTCGCCGGCCCTCCGCTTCGCGCCGCGGTGCCGCCAGGCGGCGCCCAAGGGCGGTGGCGCGCAGGGCCCGCGCCGCGCCGCGCCGCGCCGCTCGGAGGCGGAGGAAATGAAGGCGAGTTCCGCCGAGGCGGGAGCCATTACCCGCCGCCGCCGCCGGAGCTGAGCCCCCCGCCGAGCCCGGCCCCGCCGCCGCCGGCTCCCCTCCCCGCTCCCCACCCCCCCTTCCCCCCTTTCGCACGCCCGTCCCGGCACAGGTAGGCGCAGCCGTCCTGCCCCGCGGGGTGCTGAGGGAGGGGGGTGGAAGGCCTGTGGCCAGGGCCGGTGCCTGCCCCCCGGCTCCCCCCACCTCCTCCCCGGAGGGCAGGCCCCGGCCCCTTTGTCCCCGGTGCCCGGCGGAAGCGCGAACAAAAGCCACCCGCCGAAGGGCCCGGCCCTGCCCCGGGGGTGCAGCCGGTACCGGTTGCCCCCCCCCACACTCCGGGCATCCCGCGTCTGATTGGGGAGAGGCCTCTGCTCTGAGGGGAGGGTGATTGCGGTTCTGAGGTATTCAGCCAGGGCCCCGAGGTGGCTGATGGAGGGCTGTCCGTGCGGCCTGGAGATGCTGAGGGTGGTTGAGGAGTTTGCCATGGTGCTGGGGGATGAGGGGAGCAGTGGGGCCAGGACTGCGGTGAGCCATGGTCAGGAGCCTTGTGACATGGTGTCCAGGTGGTCACCATTGCTGGGGGCTTTGCTGTGAGCCCAGTACATGCACTGTGGTCACCACGGCCTTTGCCAGCATCTTGAAGCTCTTGGAGCTTGAGGTGTTCACAATGGCCAAGGTCTTTGCTATAGCCTTGGAGCACTTGATGTGGCCTTGGGCTTTGCTGTGGTCCCACAGTCCTTGTGAGAGCTTGAGTTATTTGCCATGGCCCAGGGTTTCACCATGGCCTTGAAACACTTGCTGTAGTCAAGGTTTTTTTTCCATGGGACAAAGAGCCTCAGTGGAAGCTTGAGGTGTTCACCATGACCAAGGCTTTCTGTAGTATCTTTGCCATGGCCTTGAGGTGCTCACCACGGCCAGCAACTTCACCAAGACTCCAAGGTCCTCACCAGGAGCCTGAGGTTTTCAATGGGGTCTTGAGATTCTCACCATGGCCAAGACCTTTGCCAAGGCCTGCATCGTGGCCAAAGTCTTGATCGTGCCTTTGGGATGCTCACCATGGCAAAGGCTTTTGCCATGGCCCCTAGACCTATCCTGTTGCCAAGGTCTGTGCCATGGTCCCAAAGCCGTAGCTGGAAACCCAAAGTGCTCATCATGGCCAAAGCTTTCACCATTGCCCTGAGGTCTCATGCTGCAGCCCTAGTGCTTCCACCATAGCTATAGCCCTTGCCATGGTGCCGAGGTGCTTGCTGTAGACCTGAGGTGCTGACCATGACCAAGGCTCACTGCAGCCCAGAGGCGATAGCCATGGCCCTGAAGTTGTTGCTGTGGCTCCTGCCGTGGTCCTGGGGTGTTCACCCTGTCCTGAAGACACTCACCATGCAACCAGAGGCGCTCCCCATCGCTGTCAGCATGGCCACATGCCCCTCACTGTGGCCTCGAGGCACTCCCCATCACCCTAAGCCTGGCCACGAGGTGCTCCTCAGCACCCTCTCTGTGGCCCTGAGCCACCTGCCATGGCCCCAAAGCACATGGGGCACCTGTGGCTGAGGTGCTTGCCATGGCCTGTGTCATGACTATGACCCTCTCTGTGGCTCCCATGGTAGCTGGCTGGGGGTCCCTGGGTGCCTCTGGTTGGAGAGGGCTGGGGGCCCTTGCCATCACCCCACGCTGCCACCACCCACCGCTGCCCTTTCCTTTTCTCCCCTCCCAGGTGCTCTCGAGCCGGGGCAAGGGGATGAGGTGCCCCTGTGCCGCGTGGTGTGTCGAAGCGGCTCTTTAGATCCTCCCTGGCCCAAGCCTCCCCTGCCATGGATGCCTCGGGGGCTCTTGCTTCGGCTCCCTCCTCCGCGGCTCCCTCGGGCTCCCGCAGCCCCATGTTCCCCCCAGGAGCTGACAGAGAGGAGTGGGGACCGAGGTTCAATTGTGCCCCTTCCACCTCTGCCGCAGCCTCGCAGGCGATGCCAGCGTCTGGCCGGAAGAGGAAGGCCAACTTCTCCAATGACGAGACTGAGACGCTGGTCTGGAATGTGGTCCGGCATTTCAGCGCCCTGTATGGGTCTGAAGCCCTGCGGGCTCACCCGGTGCGGCGGAAGCAGCTCTGGACCCAAATCCAAAGCCGCGTCAACTTCCTGGGCTATACCGAGCGCTCCATTGACGACCTCAAGCACAAGTGGCGTGACCTGCGGCTGGACGTCAAGAAGAAGATCACCTCCAAGAAGCACCTGCCCATGAACCGTGCTGGTGGGCCACTCCACAAGCCACGTCTCACGCCCCTGGAGAAGATGGTGGCTTCTACCTTCTTGCAGGCCAGCCACGACTCGGAGCCCGAAATCATCTTGGACCCAGGTCAGTCGTGATGGTTCTTTGGGGAGAGGAGAGTTGGAGTAGGAAGAGTCTTGTGCTGTGTCCCTCTGAGTGACATCTGGTCTGGTAATGTCACCAGGGCACAGTCATCTTCAACTCTGGGGTCTGCTGGGTGTTTGCATTCTGTGCTCCCTTCTGTGGAAGGAGTCTTTTGGGGTTTGCCCTCCTATGTGGTTTATATTGTGATCACATCATCTGCAAGGCTGTGGTCCTATCATGTCTGCGTAGCAAACTACCAAGGCTAAAAACTGTGTGTGCTGGAATTCAAAATCCACTGTGGAAATAACCTGGGATCAACGGGAACACCTCAAACTTTGTGGGAGTGGGTCTTTTTTGGCTGTCTTTTTTTATTTCTTTGATGCAGTGCCTGGCCTTGCTGGTCACCATCTAAAGGCAGCTGGTAAAAGATGGGATGGGATTTTATTTCCTGTTTTCCTGTCAGGGTCGGTGTCCCCCATCAGTAGCTGAGGTCAGAGGGAGTGGGAGCATTTGCTTCAGTGCAGAGTCCCTCTGTCCTCCCACAGCATCTTGCACCCAGATGCCATGCATGGCTGGGGGGAGTGGTGGGTCGCTGGGAGGGCTATGCCTTCCTACTGGGGCCATGCCCTTGACCCCTCTGTCACTGGCAGAGCAAGCATCTCAGCCTAGCACAGAACCTTCTTGCTGGTTCTGCTCTTGGGTAATGCCTGTTTAGCTCAAATGCCTGAGAGGTATTTGGGGGGGGGAAATGTTTATCCAAGACCCAACACTGGTCTTGCAGTAGTGCTGAGCTGGGCCCATGGTTACACCCCAGCTGGGCTTTGTTACTGGCCAGGAGGCCAAACCCACCCATGCCCTTTCATTTCCACAGAGGGGACATGTCTGACTTGTGTCCCCAGAGGACACCAGGATTAGCTGTCATAGAATCATAGAATTGGAGTGGTTTGTGTTGGAAGGGACCGTAAAGCTCATCCAGTTCCAGTCCCCTGCCATTGGCAGGGACACCTTCCACTAGACCAGGTTGTTCCAAGCCCTGTCCAACCTGGCTCTGGACACTGCAGAGGTGGGTCAGCCACAGCTTCTTGAAGCAACTTATTCCAGTGTCTCACCACCCTGCTTCTTCCTCTGCTCTTCGATTTCATCTTGGCCCAACAGGTTTCACTGGGGGCAGAGTGGGCAGTGTGGGTCTCATTCCACTCGGTTCAGGCTCAGATTGTGTCTGAACCAGATGCCTGTTTTGCTGCAGAGCAGAAGGGTTCTGGGCTGGAGGCAGAAGTCCTGCAGGACATTAGCGGATGCCAACACCCTCAGAGCTGGGCAAGTTTAGGACAGTCTTGAGAGAGGTGAGAGTGAGCGATAGAGTGGGCCAGCCTCACAGGAGGAGCGTTTGTGCCTCAGTGCGACCGTGTCCCCCATACAGCATCATTCCCGTGCAGATTCCCATGGGACCCTTTCCTGGGGAGCCCCATCCGCCTTTCTGTGGGGGCACTTGAACTGGCAGTGCCATCAGCACAGTGGCTGAGGCTGGATTCTCTCTGTCGCGTAGATCTGTTCTTCCCCGGCGCGACCAAGCAGTCCTTCATGCACCTGCAGCCTGGCATCAGCCATCCCAGCATCTACATTGACACCAACGGGCAGCCCTCATCCCTGCCGGACGTGGAGGGCTCTGCTGTGCCCCGGCTGGCGGTGCAGAGCCCCGACCCCTCCGTCATCTGCGAGTACAGCCGAGGGGAGGGACAGAGCAGTTCGGGTAAGGCTGCAGTGGAGATGGGCTGCTGCGGTGGAGGGAGGGCACTGGGTCTGTCTGGATGGGAGGTAAAAGGCTCTGGTGGTGGTTTGCTGGGTCCTGGTGTGGCAGAGTGCTGCTCGTGGGGCTGGATGCAGCCCTCGGTGTGGCACTGGTGGTGTCGTAGTGGGGTACACTCCGATTGGAGACACTTCCCTATGCCTGCCCAGCCTGTGTGGTTGGTCTGTGAGTCCCAAAGGGCTGTGGATGCATAACGGGGAACCTGAAGCATGGTTTTGTAACCGCCAGTGTTTTTTCAGTGGCAGAAGGTGACAAATCCCAGGGAAGGCAAAGGCAATGGCCATCCTTGTGTCACACAGCGACCTGGGGAACTCAGGGCAGGGGTGAGCAAAGCTGGAGGGTGAGAGCTGTGCAGATGGGGCACATTGGCCTGCTGTGTCCATCAGGGATGTCCATGAGGAGGGTGTCCGTGCGTTAGGGAGGGGCAGGGGGCCAGGACAGCAGCTGGGGCTCACCGTAAGGCTTCTCTTCCAGCCGAGTCGGGACCAGAGCTGCGGACTCCAGACGTGTCAGCCATTTCCCCGTCCCTGCGAAACGAGTCCCTGGTCTCCTACGCCTCCATGTCAGAGGAGGAGGAACGGGAAGGCCGGGAGGTGGAGAGAGTCCACGGCGGGGCCGTGGGGATGCAGTCGGGGCCTGAGGCCCCCATGTCTGCAGAGGAAGACATGAAACTGTCCCGCCAGGCCATGCTGATCCGCAGGTGCAGCTCCCAGGGCTCTGTCACTTCCCTGCCTGAGGACCCTCTCAACCCCGTAGATGCTCACTCAGACTGGGGCCATGAGGGGGTTTCCGACCTCCCCCCCCTGGGCCGCGGGCTCGACTCCTCACACCCTGAGGAGCAGGCGGGGGGCCCGGGACCGGAGATGGGCGCTTTGCCCAGGGTACTGATGGGGCCTACCTGGGAGAAGGCAGCGGCAGAGGAGGAGCCCCCGGCCCGCTCCCCGCTGCACGGCGCCTTGACCGAGGAGTCGCTGCCCTCCTCCGCCTCCCCGCCAGGGGATGCTCCTGCTGCCCCTGGCCCACCCCGTGGCCTGGGGTGCTCCCGCCTGCGGGAGGACCGCCGGGAGAGCTGGAGGACTAACATCCATCACCTGCTGGACCTGGAGGAGCAGTGGGACCAGCTGTACCACCAGGAGCTGGCCATGTGGCAGGAGGAGCGGGCCACCCAGCGAGAGGAGAGGGCCCGCGACCGCGAGCTCCAATTCCGCCTGCTGGGCGTCCTCACGGACATCCGCGACGAGCTGCGCTACCTGCGCCAGGAGAGGGCCAGCGCCCGGCAGAACCAGGCGCCGCCACCCGAGCCCCGTCCGGACCCCAGCCCTCTCCTCGAGCAGCCCAAAGCTGAGCCCAGCTTCCCTGAGCCGCAGGCCGGGAGCACGAGCTGGGGAGAGACCACCGTGCCCAGCAGAAGCCCTTTTGGGAACCGGGGCCGGGGCCGGCGTCGGGGCCGGCCACGCGGCTCTGCCTCCAGACACAGACGGCTCTTCCTCACCAACAGCTAGGGACGGGCGGGGACGCCGTTCCACCAAGGACATGGTTGTGCCTGCGGGGCTCTGGCTGCGCGGCGGGTGCCCAGCCACGGACAGTGGGGCGTGCGCGTGGGGAGCGGTGTGCGAGGGACCTGCCTGGCTCACAGGAGGCGTGCAGGGCGCCTGGGTCCTCCCTGTGAGCATGGGGAAGGCACAAGGGGGCACAGGCGGCCGGTGCCCGGGGAGGGAAGTGTGGATACACGCGTGCGTGGTAAACGGGTGTGTGTGTGCCCGGCCTGTGCCTGCGACCATGGCTCTGCCTGCGTGAGCGGCCCAGAGCAGGGCCGCTGAGCACGGGGCATGTGTGAGCGAGCAGGGAGACACGCACAGGGGTCAGCGGGGCCACGCGTGTGACAGCGCTAGTCGAGTAGGATTACTACCTTCGGGGGGTGGGGAGTTAGGAACACTTAGTCGCTGATGTGCGAACATTTTATGCAAATCATTTAATGACCTAATTTGCATATAACCATAAACTTCTGTTAAAAAAAAAAAGCCCCAAAAAAACAGAAAAGCTGTCTCTGTGTGAGCTCAGGGCAGGGGTGGTGTGGTGAGGAGGGGCCTGGTGAGCAGGACCTGCTGCCCCCCTCCACAAGCCTTTGTGCTCCCATCTCAGCCCAGGAGCTGCGGTGGGTGCTGAGCTGCAGTGAGGGACACCTGAGGATTAATCCTGCCTTTGTGAAGGTAGCCCTTCGCAGGGGTGAGGGGCCACATGCTCCCCCTGTCCTCCACCCCAGCCCATCCTGATCCCTGTGGGAGCAGCTGCTGCTGCCAATGGGGGCACCCCTACCTGCCCTCCCCACAGCACCCAATGTGGTTCCTGTCCCATCCCGGCTCCCTGTGTAGCTTCCAGAGCCTCCTCCATTACCCCGGTTGTTGCTCCCTTGTGCTGGTGCTGCTCGGCTGCTGTGTCATGCTGCTAATGCACTGCCTGCCTGAGGTTTCTCCCTGCTCCAGTCCCTGGTGCTGCCGGCACTCTGCTGCCTCGGCTGCCCTGGCTGGTGAGCTGGGCACAGTGCGTTGCAGTGATACGGAATAGTTTGCTCCATCACCCTAACGTGCACAGCCAGTACTGGGACATACAGTGGGGCAAGCAATTCTGGGCTCAGTGGCACCTTCAGGGGAAGCCAGCACCCCAGATGAGGGCTGAGAACAGGACCTGTGCTACCTGGGCTTGGACATGGCAACCTCCGCTGCCTGCGTGGCTCTGGGGTGGGGTGACAGCATGTATGGCTCAGGGGCAGCATGCAAGGTCCCCTGCTATGTGCAGGGTATGAAGCAGTGCACAGGGTCCCTAGGGAATGTGCAAGGTTGCAGGGAGTGTGCATGGTCTCCAGGGAGTTTGCAGGGTCCCTGGCATCATGCATGGCCCCTTTGGCATGTGTCCCCAGGGGGCGAGCAGTGTCCCCTAAGAGCGTGTAGAGTCCCCCAGGAGCTCCAGCCCCTCACACCCTCTCTCCTGCTCTGGCTGCAGCCCATATCAGAGTGTCAGCACAGCTGAAAGGCCACCCTGGGCTAATGCTCCCACCCATCTACAGTATGTGGGGACCCACAGCCACATCCCTGCTTGGTGGCAGCTCCTTTGCCACCCAAGTAGGACAGAGCAGGGGGTGCAGCCACACAGGGAGGGTGGCACTGTGGGTACTGACCAAAGCCATAGCACTTGCTGGGTCACCAGGCTCTGGCTGGGACTCCCCAGGGTGACCCAAATCATGGACAGGGGGGACCTGGGAGCAGTTTACTGATGGTGGGCAGGACCCCAGGGCTGGGATTCAGCTGGTTAAAATGAAGGCAGAGGTGCTGCCTGTGCTGCAGCTGGCATGAATGAGCAGGACATTGCTACCTGGTTGTTTTACTAATTAATGAAATGATTTGCAGCAGGGTGTGGAGGCACAGGGAGGAGATGCTGGGTCGTGGGCCACAGGCCCATAGATTTCACAGAAAGGCAGGAAAAACGAGAGATGTTGGGAACTGGACATGCTGAGAAGGGTCTGATGAGGCAGGGGTGTGGAGCAAGGGTTTGGGGCTGCAGCCACTGGGGAGACCCAGGACCCATGGCCCCAGAGCGCACGGCTGCATCCAGCAGCCTTTGCACAGCCATGGCTGGTGTGTGCAGACACACACAGAGGCACCCTGCAGCACAGTTGCCTGTCCTTCCCTCTCCCTGCAGGTTCACCCGTGGGTGCAGGCACTTCCCGCTCTGCCAGCACCAGGCCACAGTGGCTGGAGACACAGGAGCATCAGGAAGCCACCATGCCCCTTGGCTCTGTGGTGCTGCCATTCCCACTGCCCTATGCCCCGTGCTGAGCCATGATTTCCTCCCATTCCTTATCACCGAGCTTGCAGGCACTGCCACTGCCTGCCCAGGATGCAGGACCACGGGGATGTGGCAGGAGCGTGGCCACAAGGCCTGAGGGACATGGGGAACCCCGTGGGGCCGGGGGCCAAGGTGCTGCAGCCCAGCATGACTTTATTCCATAGCGCATTGTCCATACAAAACTACACCCCAAGCACTGTACAGAGCAGGATGGCACGGGGCGGGGGGCAGTAAAAATAAGCAGCAGGGGCCGAGGGAGCAGAGCAGCAGGCGGGGGGCTGGCAGTGGGGGGGCACAGCAGGGGGCTGCTCCCCATCCTGTGCAGCAGGATTGTCCAGTGCGGGGAGCAGTGGGGGCCAAAGAGCGTCCGTCCATAGCAGGGGCTGGCCCCGGGGATCCCCATGTGCCCCCGCTCCGGCCGGGCACCTCTATTTGGTAGGAAGCTGCGTGGCCAGCGCCTGCCCCATCCCGGGGGGTGTCAGTCCGTGGCAGAGCAGCCCCTAGTCCCCAGGGGGCATGATGCCAGAGGGTGGCAGCGGGGGGGCCCCCGCCTCGGCCCCATGGACCCGCTGGTGATCCTTGAGGGATTCCTTGTAGCGGAAGCTGCGTCCGCAGGCCGGGCACTGGTAGGGCCGTTCTCCGGTGTGGATGCGCTGGTGCTTGAGCAGGTTCTGCTTGCGGATGAAGCTCTTGCCGCAGGCGGCACAGGCAAAGGGCCGCTCGCCCGTGTGCAGGCGCTGGTGGTTCTGCAGGTGCTCCTTGCGGCTGTAGCACTTGCCACACTCGGTGCACTTGTAGGGCCGCTCGCCGCGGTGGATCATCTGGTGCCGCACCAGCCCTGAGTGGCAGTTGAAGCTCTTGCCACACTCAGCGCAGGGGTAGGGGCGCTCGGCCGCATGGCTCCGCTGGTGGATCCGCAGGCTCTTCTTCCCGCTGAAGCTCTTCCCACACTCGGTGCAGCCGTGCGGCCGCTCCTCGGCAGGTCCCGGTGTCGCAGTGGGACCCGCTGCCTCGGCTCCCGGCCCCGGCTCTGAGCCCGGAGCTTTGCCCAGTCTGTGCTGTGCTGGCAGAGCCACTGCTGGAGCTGGTGTCACCGTTGCCTGTCCCTCAGGGTTCCCAAAGCCCGTGCTGGGGAAGAGCAGTTCCCCAGAGCTGCCCGGCAAACCCACGTCATCGGGGGGCTCGGCGTGGGGGCACCGCTCCTCTGTCTTCACCAGCAGCCCATCACCAGCTGCAGGGGGGAACACCCTAGTCAGTGGCTGCTGGGGACACCAGGGACGTTCCCAGCCCCATCCCAGCCCCATGGAGTTGGACTCAGCATCACTCACCAGGACCAGGGCCTGTCAGCATCTCCCTCTCTGGCAGCTCCCAGGGCTCGCGGACGCAAGGCTCTTCCTCCTGCTTGATCCATGACAAGAAGTCATGGGCAGTGATCAGGGCGTCTGCACCTGCAGGGAAGTACAGGGACAGGGACTCAGACACATCCTGCACCGGGCAGGCTGAGAGAGGCAGCGGCTCCAAAAAGCACTGGCTGCTGCTGGCGCTGGACAGCTGGTAGGTGTGTGGCACAGCCCCGGCCTCACCTGCACAGGGGTCTGCCGGCATGGCCCGCTCCTCTGTGAACTGCTGCTCCCCAACGAAGGCCACCTCCTGTTTGATCCGGGACAGGATGTCGGAGGTGGAGATCAGCGACTCTGCTCACAAGGAGAGACTTGGCCAGTGCCAAGATGCAGCCACCCAGCGTGACCCATGACCAATACACCATGGATGTGGGATCCTGGTCTCTGGCCAAGTCGGATATCCCTATCCCACAGCAGTTATTTGGCACCAAGTACCCCTGGGGGATTTGTGGGGATGGGTGACCTCAGGACAGCCCATAGGGATGGGTGATGATGGCACAGCAAATGGGGATGGGCGACTGTGGGACAGCCCTTGGGGATGGGTGACTACAGCACAGCCAACAAGGACAGGTGACTGCGATGCAGCCCATGGGCTCTGACATGATGTGGTGGCAGTGGGGAACACATGGATCTCCCAGTGATGGATGCCCAAGACCCCCGGCACATCAGTCACAGGGGATTTTCCAGTTACTCTTGGTGGCCCCCGGTCACACAGCAGGGAGCAGAGTCTGGCCACAGCTTGGAAACTGGGCCTGAAGGGCTGGGACCACCGGGAAAAGGGGAAGGACGCAAGCAGTGGGAAGAGGGAAACATAAGCTGGGAGGCAGCAAGGCCAGGGGCTGGTGTCTCACCCGCGCAGGCATCTGTTGGCAGCTCCCTCTGCTCCAGGTCCCTCTGCTCAGGGACGCAAGGTCCCTCTGGGCGCTCGCTGCGGGGCTGTGCCTCACTTCTGGAGAGGGCACCATCTGCACAAAGGGAGAGCACGGATGGCAGCAGCAGAGGGGCTGCACCCAACCCACCCTCCCCATGCCGACGGGCAGAGAACCTGCCCGCATTCAGCAGGACCTCCATGCTGGAGGCCTGGGTAGCACTGATTCTGGGGGAAGAAAACCCACTGCAGCACCCTCGGGACAGGCAGCACAGGCTGCCCCACGTGGCGGCCCCGGCATAGCACAGCACATCATCCCATCCTCGTGCACCCGCATCCGGAACCTTTTGTGTTGATGCAGCTGGGAAAGGGGTGAGAAGGGATATTTACCCAGGGAGATCAAAGACTCATAGTTCTCCTTCACCAGGTTATTGTACAGCTCTTTCTGCCACTCCTCCAAATTCTTCCACTCCTCCGCGGAGAAGTAGACAGCAATGTCAACAAACGTCACCGGCACCTGCAGGGATAAGCCCCCGGCAGCTCAGCAGCACCCACTCCCCTGGGGCTCTGAGTGTACCCATCCCACAACCCCCCCAAGAGCCATTACCTTGGGGACCTCGCCCCGGGGGCCAGGGGGCAGCCGCAGCACCCAGAAGTTCCTATTCTTGAGGAGGTTCTCCACGTTCTCCAGGCGCCGCTGGAGCAGCCCGTACTCCTGGATGAGGGTGCCCAGCACAGCCCACTTGCTCTCCAGCTGGTTCCCAAACTCCATGGCTGTCTTCTCGCAGTCCAGGAGCTTCTTCTCGGCTGTGCCGGACCGACCCTCCAGGCTGAGCAGGCGGGTGGCGAGGAGGTCGATCTTCCTCTCCATCGCCTGCACCGTGGCCACCACGGTCCAGAGGGAGGCCTCGGCAGAGTGGAGCTGCGCCTCTCGTACGTGTGCCCGCTCCGGCAGCAGCGGTGGCTGCAGGGGCATCAGGTGGGGGGCCTCCACATTCCATTCCTGCACCTGGGATGTGGGGAGGGCGCAGGTGGGAGGGGGCCCATGGTCACCCCCTCACCAGGTTGTGCCTGATTTCGGGCTGATTTGGGCCACCCACTGCCCAAAGCCGGCAGCACTATCCTCACCCTGCCCTCCTTGGCTGCTGGAAGGGTCCGCCCCCATCTCCCCCAGCCCCGGCCACCCTAGGCACCTCCCTGCAGGCACCGCTGTGTATCCCAAATCAGCTATTTGACTGAGCAGGATTTGACCCCTTAGAGTGGTTGGTTGGTGCTGCCCAGGCAAGGAAGGAGCTGCTGAGACCCAGTCTATGCACCAGAAGGCGACAGGGCAGATGGATGGAGCAGCACTGGGATGGTGAGGGGCAGACAAGGCTGGGCTCTGCTCGACCAGTAGGTGAGGGAGAGATTGCAGAGTGACCACGGGGTCAGCACCGGTAACTGTCCCCGTGGGACACTGGCCAGCACCATCACCATCCTATGAGGGCAGAGGCTCCCACCCCAGCAACCCCCAGCCCCCACCCCTTGCTGACTCCCATCAGGCAGAATCCCCTCGGGATGGGGCCGGGGGCTCGGGGCAGCCTGGACCGCGGATGCCCGGGGACATCCTGGGGACACACGGGGACATCCCGGGTCAGGGGTGCTGAGGGCATCCCGGGGCTGGAGCCTGTGTGAAGTATCCCCGGGGCATCGGGGCATCCCGCGGGCACGGGGACATCCCGGGTCGGAGACGCCCAGCCACATCCTGGGGCCGGTCCCGGGGACATCGCGGGGGCACCGGAGCATCCCGGGACAGGTCTCCGCGAGCGGCCCGGGGCTGGAGAGCGAACGGGGTGGCCGGGGCTTCGCGGGCCGGGAGTGCCGGGGGGTCCCGGCCGGTCAGGCCCGTGGCGGCGGCGGGGAGCGGCGCGGGGGGAGAGCGGCTCCGCCTTCGGTGCCGGTGCCGATGCCCCGGTCCGGTCCGGGCCGCGCTTACCTGGGCGGGCGCCCACTCGGCCATGGCCCCGCGGTGCTGGGCCGGGCCCCGGCGGCTGGGCCCGGGCCGCGGCGGGGAGAGCGCGGAGCGGAGCGGGGCCGCACTGCCGCCCGCCTCCGCGCCGGGGCCGGTAGCGGGGCCGGGACTGGAGCCGCTGTCGGTGCCTGCGCGCTGCGGGCCGGGCCCCGCCGCCCCGCCGAGGAGCCAGGGGCAGCCGGGGAATTGCATCCGCCTCCGCCGGGCTTCGCGGCAGCGGGCGGGGGAGCGGCGCCGAGCGCGGAGCACTGCCGCCTACCGGCACCGACACCCGGCAGCCCCGACACCGCTACTGCTACCGGCGCTACGGGCACCCTGGCACCGGCACCAGCACTGCCACAGGCACCGAAGGCAGCGCTGGCACCGAAGGCAGCGTCGGCACTAGCACGGGCATGCGTCGGCACCATTACTGCCACTGGCACCAGCACCAGCATCAGTATTGACACTAGCACGGATTCAGCATTGGCACCTGTGGAAGCATCAGCGTTGGGATCGGCAGTGGCATGGGCATCTGCATCGGCGTTAGCACGGGCACAGCATTCATTGGCACCACTGCAGCCACCGCCCCACCACTGGCAATACCACTGGCATTAGTATCAGCGCTAGCATGGGGAAGGCATTGGCACCAGTGCTGGCACAGGCATCAGTGTTGGCAGCAGCATCGGCATGAGCACCAGCACTGACACCAAGCCCCAGCACCAGTATCAGCATCAGCACCAGTTTCAGCACTGTTACCAGCATTGGCAACAAGCCTTGGCACTGGCATTGGTGCCAAATGTTGGTGCTGCTGCTGGCATCAACACCAGCACCAAGCCCCAGCCCAGGTACTGGCACCAAGCCTCTGCCCTGACACCAGCACCAGCTGCAGCTCTGGTATCAGCACCAGCACGGTGGCCTGGTGGGTGTCCTGAGTCCAAAATCCCCGGGCTACCCTCCTCTGGATGCAGCTGGGCACAGCATCCCTGCCAGCACCCCAGGGTGACAGCCTGCAGGTGGCAGGTTGGGCAAGGTGGTGTCCCTCTAACCCCTGGGGACACTGTGCTGCTGGGACCCCCCTTCTCCATCCAGCAAACACCCAGTGACACACGGAGGGCTGCAGGATGAGGGCCTGGTGTGAGCAGAGGAACACAGCCAACGCAGGCAGGACCCCTGCCCTGGCCAGAGATGGATGTGGGACCCATGTGTGGGGATGTTCTGGTTTTGGGGACCCCCCCCAGCTCACCCCAACCTTGGGACTTTTCAGACTAAGTTCCAGGGGCTGGTGTCAGTGTCAGATCAGGGAAAAGCGTTAGGGTCCTGCTTTCATGGAAACCTCCCAGGGAAAGCTCATGTTTCAGGGGCATAGGGGCTGGCACAGAGGGGGCTCCCCTCCACAGGACACGGAGAGGCTCATCCCGGCCTCTGAGCAGAGAGGGCGGTGGGCCGAGAAGGGTTAACGGGCTGAGCAGGCATCACAGGAGCCCGAGCAGCCATTTCACTTGAAGATGGGATGGCTCCTGCGTCTCTTCCAGTGCTGCGTCTCCTCCAGCTCAGGCACCTGAGGGTCCCTAAAACCCCTGTGCCTCTTTCCCATGGCCCAACACCATCCTGGCTTCCAGGGCTGAGCCACAGCCGCTGGCACCCGCCAGAGCCTGAAGCAGGAGAAGCACTGGGGGTGGCAAGCGTGTCTCCTGGGACTGAGGGTACAAGCTGGTGGTGCCCCACAGGGCCTGGGGAGCTCCCAGCGCTGGTTGAGGTGGGATGGGGACCCCAAAGGGAATGCCTAAAAGCAGCATTCAGGGAGCTCAGTCTCTTGGTGCAATTAAAAGTAAGAGTGGGAAACAATGGTCTTTGGTGAAACAGAACACCAAAGAGCACATAGAGGTGCTGCTGTCCTGAACTGCCCTCTCCACCCTGGTCCCAAAGATTCCAGGATTTGGCTGTACCCCCTCACCAGGACTTTAGCACACAGCACCCCTGGCACCAGGAGGGCTGCAGGGGACAGTGTTTGGTGATGGGGACCAGCAGACAGGCACAGCACAGTCATGGAAGCCTTGTTCCTTTGGGAAACCACCAAATCAAGGCAGTTCACTGTTTTTTTTCACACCACACCTGGCAACCAGTAGATCTCGATGGGAAGGAGCCAGCTCCTGACAACAGTCACTGCTGTCCCTACTGTGGAGGGATGGGGACCAGCTGCTCTCCCACCTTCCCTCTGGATCTGGGTAGCAGGTTCTTGCTTGTGGGGAGCAGGTGCATCCCAGGGACAGCTCTCCTGCTTGGGAACGTAAAGTCAGGGCTCCATGTTCATTGGTACCAGCTTTAGATGCCATCAAGTCAGAGGGAATCCTAGAATGGTTTGGGTTGGAAGAGACCTTAAAGCTCATCTCATTCCAATCCCCCTTCCACTAGACCAAGTTGCTCCAAGACCCGTCCAACCTGGCCTTGAACGCTGTCAAGGCAGTGGGGCAGCCACAGCTTCTCTGGGCAACCTGTGCCAGGGCCTCAGCACCCTCACAGGGATGATTTTTTCCCTAATGAATATTTCCTATAATTTTTTCTTTTTTCCTTCTGGGAATTTATCCAGCCAATTCTGAACCAGTGTAAAATCCCTGCACCTGCAGCATCTTCCTCCACGGGTGGCTCCAGCATAAGGAACCGCCACATTAGGGATCCCTGCCCTCCCTTCACTTGGAACCTGCTGCTCACCAGATTTGCTCCGTGTCTCCCAGGCACCTGCTACACACTCGGTTCCAGTTCTGCTCCAAACTGGGGCAGTGGGAAGCACCTGGGGTATGGAATGTGTGGGCAGGGCCTGGATCTGCTCAGGATGGGATGTAACGGGGTAGAGTGGAAACTACACACAATAAACACGATAAAACCAAACCTCCCCAACGGCAGGTGGAGCTTTCTGGGAAAGGGCTCTTTTTTTGGTTGCTTTGACTAAAAATCCAGACAAAGAAGGGAAGATGATCCCTTTGCAAAAAGTACTTGTACCAGGCCTCTCTTTCTGTAGTTTTGTCTTTATTTGTGTGATGGCAGCACCCACAGCCCATGAGGCACCAAGTGAACACACAGGATGAGACCCTTTATCTGCATCCGGTGGAGAGAGGGAGAAGCTCAGAGAAACTTTGAGGAGAAATCATCTTTTATCGGCATTAATCACAAAATGCCAGACCTCTCAGTCTGCAAACTGGAGAAGGGAATGGGAGAGGATGCTTCAGAGGGCAATTCATCCTAGTTAAACCAGGAAGGGCAGAAAAGCCTCACGTGCGACTTCCGGACCTTGTTTGTACCATTTAGGGCTCTTCAGACTCAAACTGTTCTATTCTCAGGTGTGTTCCTGTCACTGCTACTCCTGACGAGGTGCTACACAGCAGGGTGAGCTTTACACATTCCTTAATGTGTGTTTTATTGTTAATTTGCACATTAAACATCACCTAAGGCTTTTTAAAAATAAATGGTGTTGGCAACTCTCTTTAAGGAAATCCTCTCTTGCCAAGGATCTGGCATTTTTTTCCCCTCTGCACAAATGGAAGAGTCTACACAGTTTCTTGTACTTCCCTATGCATGAAGGCTATTTCTCAAGGCAAGGACACAGAGTCTCAGCTTAGGCGTCTTACTAAATAACAAAGACTACAAAAAACCTCTTCCTTCCATAAGGGAATTCAGACAGTTTCCCAATAAGGAATTCAGAGAATCTCATGATTTCCAGAAGTGTTTCTGGGAAAAGACTCAGGTAAGGAAGGTCAAGTTTCTGCAGCCCTTCAAACCTCAACTTCCCAAGGACCTCAGCAGACACTGCACTGAAGGACTACCCAATTGCTACCACTTCTTGAAAACATGCTGCCTTGCTTTAGTGGTATTTTTCCATGAGGACTGGAAACGCAGTGTTTAAATACAGCTTCAGAAAGAATGGGTTTTGAAGTTCATAGCAACATCTTGTGAAGGGAACAATGACTCTTCCACATAAACTATTTGTTTAATCATTCTGAGCTATACAAAGGCTCATGAAGGGCAAAATTCCCACCAGCAGCAGTGGAATGGAAAAGAGGGTTCTATATGAGAAACAAACCCAAAAGGACTTATCTTTTTTTTTAAGCTGGGTATCTGCATGGAATAGGCTTCCAGGGAAGTGGTGGAATCGCCATCCCTGGCCGCCACACCAGAGCCCTTCTACTTAAGGTGAGAGAAAACTGGTGCTACTGTTTCCAAATCATAGACAACGCATCTCTTCCCAGTTCTGCTGCTGCTCCTTTCTTGGTACACAGGTCGTGTTAGGATGGTTTGACTCTGGATTTCCCCAGCACAACTGAATGTTTACCAGTTAAATGAGCATCAAACATGCTTTACACAAGCACAACTCCTGTAGCTGTTCCCCGTTGTCATGTCCACGGCTAACACAAGGAGCCAACCTCTCAATGCTTCTCACAGGGGAGACACCTTGCTTTACTGCTGAATCTTTTTGACATTTTTTGCTTCATTTTGTGGTTTAAGATTTGCTCTGTACTTTGTGCAAGTAAAACTCTACACACTGCCATCATGTTGGCTAGTACACTGCCTTCGTGGCTTTCCACCTCCATTTAATCCCAATTTCCACTTAAACCTCTAAACAAGGTGATTATTTCTTTTCAGTGAGCTCTTAGGAAGATATTCAGCATGAGGGTGATGAGGCCCTGGCACAGGTTGCCCAGAGAGGCTGTGGCTGCCCCATCCCTGGCAGTGTTCAAGGCCAGGCTGGACGGGGCTATAAGTGGAAGGTGTCCCTGACCAAGGCAAGGTGTTAGAACCGGATGATCTTTAAGGTTCCTTCCCACCCAAACCAGGCTGTGATTCTGTGAAGAATAAAAGAAAAGCTGTCCCAAGGGCAGTTAAGAGAAAGAAATAATAAGAAGGCAACAATAAAGGGTTTTCTGGAGATTTCTCCTGTAATGGAGTAGTCAGGGATCCCTTGGGGCCAAGTGTATTCCCTCAATCCCCTTCAGAACATATTGAACCCCACCACAGAACCAGCTGTTTGTTGCTCTACTGCTCCTCAAGGGAAGCATTGACTTTGCTCCTGGACTCAAAGTGGCTGCTAAGACACTTTTTCATTCTTTGCCCTCAACTGGAATAAGTGAAAATGTGGAGTATCAGCAGCCTGGGGGCAGGAGACACATAGTCTTTAAACAAACACCATCTGTCAATCTTTGCCTTGGAGCTGAAGCCACCACTTCCTTTGGTTTACAACAT